ACATTTTTCCAAATAAAGTGTCAAAGACAAGCTATTGGATTTTTCATTCAGGCTCCCTGATGGAAAAATGTGATGAACGCAGTGACATTTTGAGGCAAATCATCTGATTTGTCCTACTACACATATATTGAAATAATACTCATACTTTTATTTAATAGAAACGAGGAGAAACTCCAAAATAATCAAGTGAAATGATTGTATCACCTCCTTGATTAACATAAAGACAGTTATTGACCACTATAATTCTGAATATAATCCAAAGTATTGATATCTTCGATATTTTGCAATTTATTCACCTATGAAGACATCCTGTAATTTATTCACCTATGAAGACATCCTGTATCTACATTTCAGACCAAATCAATTGAAATGGGTGTTCACAAGATTCTAATTAGTGCTATTCAGATCATACAAAATGTTGTTAGTTGTTAGTAAGTATATCAACTATACACAAGACGATATTAAATGTGAATACATGCAAATGAAGGAATATCAAAATAATGCTAACCTTCCTTTCTGAGCTAGCAAGTCATTCCTTGATCCTTTGAAGCTACAAAAAACGGAACATCGTCAAAACGAAATGCAAACACATGACAAAGCAATTTCAGATCATGCTAGGCTATGATACGATCATTTTAGGTTTATATTTGATGCTTCACGTTATTTTTCCTCAACTAAGAGGTTATGTGAAAATGTCATGGAACAAGTAAACTTATGGGTTGGGTGCAAGAACTGTCAGATGACTGTCAGAGAAACACAACCTCACTTTTCTTATTTGTTTACAAGTGATTTAAATAGATTTTCATAATCATTTTGGCATACGAATCGTGTTTTTCGGCTATTCATCAAATCGCGCATGCCATCACATTGTGCTGTTGTACAATGTACAAAAAATGCAGCGGGAGACGAAGGAATCTGGTTGGTGCATTATGATCTGAAAGTAAGCACCTACTATAGTCACTCACATTATAGTTTTCATTTTTGAAATTTGGTGATTTCTATTGGATTCATGCAATCAAATGGGAGGACTGGTCTGATATGCTGACGAAATATGATTTTATTTATTTTATTTTATATATTCAGGAATACAAACAGGACGAGCCTAAAAACAGTATTCACAGGTAGTCATATAACATTATGATTATTATAATACTCATCTTAGAAATTTAGTGGGGAACCTAATTTAAACTTAGGATGGTATACAAAATTTTAAAGGAATTTAAAAGAAATATAATAAATCTGCAAGGTGCTAACGAGGATTCAGAGGTTCGAGAAAAAGTATGTTTTGAGTTTATTTACAAAGGTGGTAAATGAATTACAAAATATATCAATATCAATCAGATTTGATATTGAATTATAGCTTTTGAAGCAACGATGATGGGGGGAATTCGAATAGTAATTTGTGTTGGCCGCTTTTGTGTGAAATAATTGATGACTTCGAGTGGGGTATTGCGGTACGTTATATCGAATGGAATTATTAATTGGGATTGAGTCTATCATATTATTTACCAACTTAAACGAAAATTTTATGTCGGCAATATCTCTTCTATTTTCGAGACTAAGTAAATTCAACTTTCTGCTTATAAAAGTTTTATCGACATGAGACGTGTTACGGAAGACCGTGTGTGTTGTAGACATTTTCGATCTTTTGGCAGTATTAGCTTCTATTGCAGAAGTGGCAGAAGGACTTTTAATAAGAAATGACAAAATTTCATAATGAAAACTATGTGAGATTATTCATTTACCTGAAAAATCATATTCCTTCGTCCCGCGCTGCATTTTTTGTGCATTGTACAATAGCACAATGAAAAGGCATGCTTGAATTAATGAATACCGCAAAAAAACCGATTCGTATGCCAAAATATTGTGAAAAACTATTTCAATCCTTCTATTCCTCTGTAAACAACTAAAAAAGGTGAGGTTGTGTTTCAATGTTTCACATAAGAGTGAAGTTGTGTTTCAATATTTCACCACCAGGGTCGGTCATCGTGCACGCGACCTATTCTGTTTTTTAAATGGTTACCTTACCGCTTTCTCTGACTTTCAAATAAACCAAATAGACACTGACGCTAGCAGAGCAGAAGTGGATTTCAAAAATTGATAAATATCATTGATGACTGTATGGTACTAATTTTATTTAAAACATCCAGGTTTGGAATGTCAATGTCTAACTTTCTGATGGCATAACCACAGGTGTCTAAATCATTATCCGTCATTTATTTTTACCAAGAAGATTATTCTTACGATATTTGCGATACTCGTTCTAAAGACACTAGTGGTATACTAATTGAATACTTAACGCTTATGAAGCCAAAAAAACACAAGGCACATTGAAGAAGAAACAAGAAACATACCTTTGTTTGCGACCAAGCGAACCGTAGATGTCAGACGTGGATTCGTGAATGTCATGCTGTGATCCACGACTAATCGGTGAGAGGAGAAACATAAAACAAACATGCAATAAAACACGAAACACAAAAAATGGTTACATTAAACAGTGACAACACAAACAGAGTGATGAACATGAATGAAAGAAAGGTTGTGCAAGTGATGTAGGAAGATAACACAAGAATACGTTTTCAGCTGGAGAATGTAGCAAGTTCGTTCATTCGTGAAGCACATAAATGTGCAATAAAGCTGCTAACGAAGTGTTTAAATAATAACAATCAACTAACAATATTTTATGCTTGATTTGACATGCAATATCTTGCAAGATTATCACTTTTCTAATATGTCATTGTCAACGAGATGAAATGTAGCAGACTGAGTTACAATTATCATTTCAGAGAAATGAATGTCATTTTTAAGAGATCTGGGATGGATAAAGTTGACCCAATTGTTAACCCATTTTTTTTTATTTGACAGCCTCTACTCTCAGTACTGGTATCTAGAAATAGTCAGAGCCTAGTTATGTTGGAATTCAGGTCGAAATTTGTAGCAGTGAACTCTCAATCAGTTGAATTCACAAGGTTATTTTAGTGATATTGAAAAATTAGTTGAAGGAAAGAAAGGGTCTAAGACTCATTGATAGAATAGAACATATGCCGCTTCTACACTAACGAGAGATTTCGACGACATTGAAGACATACGAGAATCGTTGTACTCGTGCTATTTATTCGAAAACGAAGTATGGAAGGCGTTTTTATTTTAAATAAAGCTGATTATGTCATGGTTAAACTCTTGGGTTACATAATCAGATTACGCAGCTGACTAACAGAAATAAACTCAAATTTCTGACCCTACACTGCCTTGTGGTATACAGCAATTGCAACAGTTTGCAACTTCGATTAATTTCAGCTGCATTTGAAATATAATTCGTGTTGACTAGTGAACAATGCATGGAAACGTATTGATCCAGAAAGGAAACAAGAGTCGGTTCGAAAAAAAAAGTCAAACCTACATCAGAAAAATATATCATTGTCGATGTGAATCGAAAACCAAGTTTGCTAGTTAACAGGTAAGAGGTATAATATTGTCTGTTCATTGACCCAAAATTTTTCTGCTAGTGTATGGAAAACTGCCGAAAGCTCATTCGTTTCAATGTCAATGATACTGTTTTAGGTTAAATTTGTCTTCTTTTTTTCCAAACAGTACCTACTCAATCAGTCAACAAGACATCCGCAGTAACCAAGGTCATCATCTGACGTTAATTAATGACATTAAAACTACGGAAAACATGTCCAACTTCCAATCTAAGTCAGGAGTTAGGAATGTTCTCCCATAGTTTTCATGTCATCGGAACATCAGATGATGACCTTGGCTACCGCGATGAAAGAAAAGTATATTTGTAACGATTGGTACCTGACGTTTTGACGTCTGATGATTGACTGTTGACTGTTGACTTCCTTTTTTGAATTATCTTTCTCCGAATTTTTTAAAATTGCTATTGTATCTTTTATTAGTTATTTCTCTTTTACTGTTGCTTGTCCTCTATTAATTTGTTCGTTTGTAATTTTTGTTGTTGTATTTGTAAGTATAGGTACATACTTCCAAGTAAGTGCATTGATTTCATTACTTTCTTTAGCTGCTGCGTAGTTTATAGCTTCTTGTAGTCATTATTTCGATTGCCCATTTTCAATTATTTTTTCATCTAGTGCTCCTTTCAGCTTATAGTTATTTCACTGTCTGATTTTGAGAGTTTGTGGGTTTGATTGTGATGTGCATAAGGTCGCGTATAAACTGTCGTTCCATTTTGCACTCCAAGAGCTGATGTGATAATTACACACTTTTTTCACATGATTGTAATTTGAGGCAACAATGGGTTCAAGCAATATTCAATGCATCAAGGTGAAATATTCTTCTTAGATCGCATACTCAAAAATAATGCATTCATATTTCAGGAATGAGAACATTTTGAAGTGTGTAAGCATGATTATATTATAATAATATATAGAACTTAATGAAGTATATTATAATATTATGAAGTAACGTTTTTTCATCACAGCACTGACGAGGTTTCCGCAGTTCCTACTCAAATTCAAATAGCATCATAAATCAAGCTAATATAGCATTGCGTGAACAACTTCTTGCTTTCATTCGAGTATAGGTAGATGATTTTCATACTTGATTTATTGATAACGTTTCAACCACGAGTTTCAACGAGATATTTTAAATTTACAAACTTGAAAGTGTATGCTTGACAGGAACATGTAAAAATGTTGAGGTAAGGAATGAAAAATGTACAACTTAGTCCATGTAGATGTCTCTACGGTATAGGAACAGTCACAATGAGGCGATTTTCGCAATTGTTGTTCCCGATGAACATACAATATTATACCTCTCGCCTACTAACTTGCTCTCCCATTTATATTGACAATGAATATATCATCAAGAATTCGGATGTGATTAGGTTATGATCCAGTCCAGCCTACTACTTTTCATCTAGCTGAAAATGGTGTCCTCAGTCTACGGAAAATACTCAATTTATGATCATCAAATAACTATCCAACTATATAGTATTATCACATTGAAACAAGCAATAAGTACTTTGAAAAACTTACATCTGCCCCTTCCCTTTGACGAACTTCTTCGAATCCTTGACCCCTTGCACGGCCTTCACCTGCTTAGCCTTGCACACCCTGTCCACCTCCCCTTGCCTCTTCTGCGTGTTCTCCATCAGCTCCTTGTGATCAGCAATGAGCCTTTCGGTCGCAGGTACCTCCATGGGCAACTCCTCCCTCTTCAGATCCACCAGGGTGTTCTCCAACCCCAGCAGCCACTGGATCAGCTCTTCCAGCGACTCGTCCATGTCCCGCAGCGATTGCACGTGCTGCGACAGCTTCTGGTGTCGCTGCAGCGCCCACTGAGATACCTCCTCCCATCTAGACTGGATGATCTTGATCCAGTTCTTGATCACGTTGATCGAGTCCATGTGGGCCTTGGCCAGGATGTTGTGCGCTAGTTCCAAAGTCTGGTCCTTTTCCAGCTCCTTCTCGCCCAGCTGCGCTCTGAAGCTGTCCAAGGCTCGCAGCTGCTCGTAGGCTGCGGCTTCGTCTTCGGGCGCGTTACCCGCGAAGCGCAGCTTGCTCTCAGCTTCGGCCAACCAATCCAGGATCATATTGACGGATCTGTGCAGACGTTCGGCGTCTTTCAGAGCGTCCCTCAATCGGTCGGATTTGGCCTTGGTCAGACCTGTGACGGTCTCCCACAGCTCGGTCAGTTCGTTCAACTCCGCTCTGATCTGTATGGCGTCCGTTCTGTTAGCAGATCTCTCCAGCTCTTGACCTATCATAGACCAATTGCATTGTTGAGTAAGAAGAATTGTAGATTTCATCAATGAAAATTATGGGTTTGATTTTGACCAATAGGCGAGTTGACGATTTTTTTTTATTTCTCAAATAGAATCATCACTCAAATACCTTCCAATTTTATATTTTTTTAAATTTTCCGGTCGATTTTTAGGTGCTAAAATCATCAATAATGTCACGGTAATTTTCAAACGGCTAGAAATTTACCGCCAGTGAAAACTGATGCCACGATTTCGTAATGCTTAGTACAGATGACAGACTTTCGCATTTCACCTTATAGCGCATCGGATTTTGATTGGTCACAATTAATACTTGTAATGACAGAAATTTGGTTCAAAGGTCAATTAGCGAAAAATGTTCAAACTATCAGAACATATTATAGAGAAAAATCTGATATTTGTCCGTGCTTTATTATTCATATTTCCGCTGTGAGTTGTGAGCTGTCATCTGTACCCTCACAGACCATAGCACAGTTGCCAAGTGTTGAAATACGATTGGCAGCTTCAGAAATATTTGTTATTCAATAATTCATAAATTCTGAATTGACTATTAGTTATATTCCTAATTAGCGATAAAAATGCAATAGTCTCAAAATGTTCCCTTATGATCTGTGGCTCATTGCTTATACATTTTTTTTATGTTCCGGTTCCCACGAAAATGGATATCCTGTTATGTTCAGAGAACATCGTGAGAACCAAGGGAAATAAGGTAGGAATTGGTGTTCTTCTTGAATTTCTGGAGGTTATATGCCTCGTAGAACACCTCCCTTGGCAATGGGTTCCAGAGCCTCGCTGTTAGTTGGATGAACGAGTCTTTGGAAAGAGATGTTCTGCAGGTCTCCAAAGTGACCACGAAGGGGTGCGAAGCCTGAACTCGACGGGTTAATCTCGCGGGGACTGCAAAAGGAGGAACAATTGTGGATATTTCAGGAGAGCATCGTCCATGAAAATATCTATAAAATAGAGCCAGATCGCCAACTTTTCTACGGTGATCCAGAGAAGTGGGTGAGTTTGTGAGCGAAGCATCACCCACGAGACGAAATGCCCTTTTTTGGACTGAATCCAACAGTTTCAGGGTATGTTTGGGTGCTACACTCCAAATATGGAAACAGTATTTCAGGACAGGTCGGATCTGTGCCTTATAGATCATAAGCAGCTGACTGGAAGTGAAATAGCTCCTGGCCCGAAACAGAAAACCAAGTTTTTGAGATGCACTTTTAGCATTTGATCTCATGTGATTTTCCCAAGAAATGTTATTGCTGATAGTAATACTAAGCATCGAAATGGATGTCTTCAAAGGTATGATTACTCCAGACAAGCTTATGTTGGGCACAGTGAGATCGGCTTTTCTAGAGAAAATAATAAATTTGTGTAAATAATAATTATATTAATTCACACTAGAGGACATTTGAATAGGTGAACGTGACAACACAGCGCACGACTTGTGGGCGTGGTCTTGTCAGTTCTCAGCATTCAGCACAATGTTGCCAAGTCTCCAACATTCACATGATATTTTGTTATGGTGGATCAAATTTAAGAAGAACACCAATTCCTACCATATTTTCCTTGGTTCTCACGATGTTCTCTGACCATTACAGGACATCCCTTTTCGTGGGAACCAGAACATAAAATAGAAAAATCCGATTCTATTCAAAATTTGTAAGTAGGAGTTTTTGGGATCGGAAATTATGATTCCTTCGTCGAAATTGGGAAATTCAAGAGAACTAAAATCGAGTAGAAAATAAATATTGATAGTTTGAAAAACTAGCCGAACACGCTGCCATAGATAGCCAAACGAAAAATAAGTAGAAAATAAAATAATAATTATAGTGTGTTGATTAATATTCGACTGGAAAAAATATCAACTAGAAATAATGTATACAGTGTGTCCCACTTACCATGCTCACCATGGGTATCTTTTTAACGGTGAGAGATACGAGGTCGGTTAAATGACACCGAATGTGGGGTTTGTCAAGGTAAACTATAATGTGAAAAAATATTTTGATAAAATCTATTCGTTTTTGTTTTATACGCAAAAAACAGATTTTGATAATTTTCATGTCTTTCCCGTAACTTCTTTATTTATGAAAATATTAAAATAGGAATTCCACATTCTTATGGCAGTTTTTCAGAATGATTTCGAAAAAAATAAGAAATTTATACCGACTCTTCTAGAATTTGAGATATCAGCACGAACTTTAGTTTTTCAAATGTAGGTCATAGCTCACTATGACTTAGTTACAAATAACTTTTTTTTCTCTCACAGATGATATGTCGCAGTAATAGTTTTGTGTTGATAACAACGGAGTTATCGCCATTTACACAAATACAAAAAATTATTTGGAAGCCGCCATCTTGAATTTATGAATTTCAACCAAAAAATCATGATCTCCGACTTCGAAAAACCCCACTTATCAATTTTGAATGGAATCGGACCAAATCTTGTCCGCCATCTTGGAGCAGCCATTTTATTTAATTTCAACAGAAATTCCATAATGTATTGTCACCGAAATTATGAACACCTGCCAAATTTCAAGTTAATCGGAGTTATGGAATTTTTGTTGAAATTGATAAAAATGGCTGCCCCAAGATGGCGGACAAGATTTGGTCCGATTCCATTCAAAATTGGTAAGTGGGGGTTTTTGAGGTCGGAGATCATGATTTTTTTTGTTAAAATTTATAAATTCAAGATGGCGGCTCCCAAATAATTTTTTGTATTTGTGTAAATGGCGATAACTCCGTTGTTATCAACACAAAACTATTACTACGACATATCATCTGTGAGAGAAAAAAAAGTTATTTGTAACTAAGTCATAGTGAGCTATGACCTACATTTGAAAATTAAAGTTGGTGCTGATATCTCAAATTCTAGAAGAGTTGGTATAAATTTCATATTTTTTTCTAAATCATTTTGAAAAACTGCCATGAGAATGTGAAATTTCTATTTGAATATTTTCATAAATAAAGAAGTTACGAAGGAGACATGAAAATGATCAAAATCTGATTTTTGCGTATAAAACAAAAACGAATAGATTTTATCAAACTATTTTTTCACATTATAGTTGGCCTTGACAAACTCCACATTTGGTGTCATTTAACCGTCCTCGTATCTCTCACCGTTAAAAACCCATGGTGAGCATGGTAAGTGGGACACACTGTATAGCAAAACCACGTTTACAGGGTCAGCTAGTACTTTATGTATTATTTGTATAAAATGTAATATTGGGAAAAATAATGGAAAATAAAGACTTCACTAACCGTTTCTCATCACAGACTCCATTTGATCGTTGCGCTTTTCAAGCTCCTTCTCGAACTGCCTGTGCACATCCACCAGGTGGTTGACAGTGTCCAGATCTCCGTGCAAGGGGCTGTCCAGTGCCAAGTCTTTTTCGGCCTTGCGCAGCCATTGCACCAAGGCGGCCATGGCGTCCTTGAACTGGCCCGAATAGAGCAGCGCTTCTTCCAGTTTCCTTTGTCTCTCCACGCTCTTGTGGCACACCGAGTTCCATTTGCTCTTCAGCTCCGTGAGCATGTGCTTGATGGTGGGCTCGTCCGTTTTGGGGGCCTTATCCTTCAATTGTTTCCCTGATTTCATGACGCCGTCGTAGCTGCCCTGCTTGCCGGACAAAGCTTTCTGGAACTCCTGGTGCTTGGCTAGCCGACTCTTGATCTTGTCCGGATCATTTCCGATGGTTTCCGCTAGAAATTCATCTAGAGAGTGCTCAGTATCGTCCAGCCAATTCATGAGGCTCGACCAAGCATCATGGAACTCTTTGGCTTCCTTGTAGCCCAAGTCCAAAGCCCTAGTGCGCTCTGCAGACTTGGAGGCGACTCTCTCCCATCGGTGTTGCACGCTGATGAGCAGATTCTTGATCAAAATGACGTCCTGCTTCTGGCTGAAGTACTTCAAGTGAGTCCCCTTCTTGTCCAGCGCCAGCATGATTTCTCTGTGTGCACTGACGTCCTTCTGGAAGATCTTGTGCTCCTCTATCTGGTCGCGAATAGTGTCCAGCACACGTGACACCGGTTGCAAATTAGAGAGAATTTTTTCGGCGTTGGTGAGCCAATCGACGAAAGCTTGCAGGGATTCGTGGAATTCGGTGGCTTCTTTCAACGCGATCTCCAGCTTGATCTTTTTGTCGTTGGCTCTGGCCGTCACGTGGTCCCAGCGCTGCTTCAAGGTGCGCAGGTTGTGTTGCAGGTTAGAAGCGGGGGTGGCGGCTTTCTTCAGGTACTCCTGTCCCTGGGCGAGCACCGTTTCCACTTTGGGTTTGTTGTCTTCGATTTCGTTGTAGATTTCCATGAAACGCTCCAATTGTTCGGAGGCGGTTTCCGGTAGGCCTCCGACGGGTTTGCTGGCTGTCAATATGCTGTCGACGTCTCCCAGCCAGGCTAAGAGGTCTTGGATCTCGGCGTTGAATCTTTGAGCGTCGTTGAGAGCGTCTTCTAGCTCTCGTTGTCTGTCTGCTGCTTTCTGCATGAGAGCGCGCCATTCCGTGTTCAGGGTGTTCAGTTTTTCTAGGGTTGCGCTCGCTTCATCGGCTGCATCAAATAATACGTTAAAGTGAGAGTTCCTAAATGTACAGGGTGGATGTATCTCTAACGGTTTACGAGATCCCAATGATGAGGCTCTAATTCCAGCCACCCTGTACTTGTCACTTTTTGGTTTTGTTTATTCAGAGTACGGTCACTCGACAAGCAGTGACAGTGAGAGATAACCACAAATGATCTTGCAGTAGATCATTATGTGTTGCCAAACAAGGACAAGAATATGTTTTTTGATTAGATAAAGGCTTCTCGCATCTTCCTCTACATGTTGAAAGAAGAGTACCTACTTCCATATATATTTTTCTGTCTTTCATTTTTGAATGAAAGTGCAAAGCGTCTCCTCGAATGGGTAAAAGGGTACCATACATTCCACCCAGCATAACGATCAAAACATGGATAGCGAATTCACACTTTTTGGTGTTTCATTACCAAAAACTGAAGAAAAAGCTACACAATATTGTATTACAGGCGTGACTGAGATTTCATTCAAATAGAGATAAAAGAATCGTTTACACGGATAAGAATTTCGAAAATTAATGTTTGGAATTCGTCCTATCAAAATTCGCAGTGATGAACCATAGGTACATTTAATAACAAAGTTTTTTTCAAACTTCTTCCACCCTATTTTTACTAATACATTATGAATTTCAAGGTAAATCATGCTCATAAATATCAACTTCACTTCTAATCTTTTTCAATTAGTCATTCAAACCTTCCATTCGTTCTTTCAAATGCAAAAGTTCTTCATTATTTTGTTCATCGAAACTGTGAATTTTACGCGTTTTTAATAGAAGATATATACAGTGTGACCCACTTCTAATGGAAACACCCCTGTATGTTACGTAATCGATGGGGAGGAACCTGAGTGAGATAACCTGAGATTTGCTGGAGCGAGAGATATACCAAAAATGCACTCTATGACCAAGTCATCTTCAGTGATATACACTGCTCGCCAAAAGCCATGGAACCACCCCAATTTCCAGCAAATGATATTAGGAGTCAAAATAGGTCAAAATTCACTTCAGATGTGGAATCAGGACGGCCAATTCACTAACTATTCATATTTTTCCTCGAAAAATTTCAGTTCCGAAAATTGAATTTTGTCACTTTTTACGAAAGCACCCCCGTATCTCACGTGATTCACTTTATCTTTGGACTTTCCCTTCCTTCTGCAAATTTCAGAACCCTGCCTCGATGATTACGTGAGATACAGGGGTGCTTCCATGAGAAGTGCGGCAAAATTTAATTCTTCTGAACTGAAAATTTTCTAGGAATACTATGAATAGATAGTGAATTATTGGGCGTCCTGATTCCGAATTCAAAGTTATTCTCAACCTTTTTTGACTCCTAATATCATTTTCCGGAAATTGGGGTGGTTCTATGGCTGTTGGCGAGCAGTGTATATCACTGAAGATGACTCCACTTGGTCATAGAGTGAATTTTTGGTATATCTTTCGCTCCAGCAAATTTCAGGATCATAACCCAACGATTACGTAAGATACAGGGGTATTTCCATTAGAAGTGGGTCACACTTTATATGTAGGGGTTTGTTCAAAATCTGAAATGACTTTCAGGTAAGTAGGTAGTAGTTGTAAATGTTGCAATCTGTTTCAATTTAGTTTCCAAATCTATATTTCTTCTTCTATATGTTTCCAAAATTCCTCATCCTTCTTTTATTAGTGAACCTTGAGTTTTTCATCTTTTCTACTCAAGTTTTTTTCATTCATAATTTGTTTGAAATCAAGTTTCTCGTTCCATTTTCGTACTGAATCAGTTGGTTCTTTTCGATATTCATCCTGCTAATAAATTGTTGCAAATTTTGTTGCCTGAACCTAGTATTCCCAGTATTTTCACGTTCGTGTACAGTTGTCGCTTTTTTCATCAATTCATTTGTGGTTATGTCTCACTGTCAGTGCGTGTCATAATGTTCATATTCCTAATATAAAAAACCGTCAAAATAAGAGTGTCGAGTACACTAAGGAACTCTAGTCAGAGTCACCGCTGAAATTTCAAAAATCAAGCAAAAGTAGGTACTCACTTTTTCCGCTCTCGATGATCTGCCGGCCGGCATCATTCAACGTATCCACGCTGGTCTGGTGCGCCTGGATATCATTCACCAGCACCTTCAGCTTGGCCAGCTCGATCTCGAGGATCTGCGGATCCCCGGCGACCGGTTTCAACTCGTCCAACGTGGCGTCGGTCTTGCCGATCCACACCAACAACTCGTTCAGAGCGTGTTGGAACTGGCCGAGTCGCAAGAGGGCGTTCTCGAGTTGGCGCTGTCTTTCGACTATGCCGCGCAACAGGTCGTCCCAGCGCTTGTTGACAGACGTCAAGGGCTCCTTGATGGCGGACGCTTGGTCGGAAGAGGTACGTTCGGTCAGTTCTTGGGCTTGCCTACAGGGAGAGAGAGGATTGGTCAGTGGGTACCACCTTGTATGGATTAGATGAATAGAGCCGAATATCTGTCGAAGTTTCATATTTTTGCAATATCTAAGATATCGAAATGGGAATTTGACTGATACTGTCCTTGATTGGATTTATTAAAGCTACACGATTCACTATTAATTTAGAAAAACATAACTGCTTCCAGAGTGGAGTAATTGGAGGAAAAAACATGGCCTGCACAAAATATTATAGACTGAAGGAAATTGATGAGTAGTTGGTAGGTACCATAGACATATAGAAAGGGGAGAGACGAAATTGGTTACAGTTCGTCCAACATATTCTTCAGCAGAAAACCATGATCACAAATTCCTGCCAATTGACCTAGATCTACCGCCTTTGATCGAAAACCAGGGAATTATCAATCATACATTAATTATATAATATAAATTTTTTATCTACATTTATTCTTAATGATTGTTCCCTAATTGAAATATGTGGATTTGCTATTAAAATGATTCAAAAATATCCTAATTGCATTATTACCAAAAATTATAATGTATTATGGAGATAACTGTCTCAATGCTGTATCGGCAGGTATACTAGTCATTCACGTATGTCAAAAGCCGACGTTTCAGCATTGTTGTGCTGTGTTTGTTACCATTTTGGTGCTTTTTGTGTTTGAATTGATTTTCAGTGTTTCCTTGTTAAAGAACTATATTAAGAAGATAATTGATGATAGTCTATTATGATTGACCAGTGAGTGGATTGGAACCAAATTGGTATTCCGACGGTTATGTTTCTTTCAACTTGAGCAGTGGTGTAGTTATCGCACGTAGTATAACTAAATTATGGCAATAAACATTAGGTAAGTATCTAAGGTACTACGAATATTTGGTGATAAAATTTAAAAAATAGACCTAAACCTTTCCTAAAAGGTATGGTGTCGATCTCATTGTAGTAACACTGTCTTGCCCCTCGCTTAACCTATACGACTGATGAATAAAAATGTGAACATTGACGTACAGTTTACAGCGTTGCCATTTTTTGAAGCCATCTCTTTCTAATTCATTTGAAACTTTGGAAGTATGTTTGATTGTAAACAAATAGTGTTTTATGAAAGAAATGTTATATCTCCCCTCAGTTTATATGTCTATGGTATGTACACACATATCGACAAAGTACTCCAGTCAAGTGTTGTTTGATTCCAATTTTTTTCATCAAGTTTTCAAACTACGAATTCCCTTTCAAATTTTCAACATAATGGATATTGTTTATCACATTCCCATGTTGAAAACCATCATGTAGAACGGAGTAAAATAATCATGATTTGACGTGGTATGAGAACCGAGAAAGCAATTGCAAAATTATGAAGCTTCACTGCTGGATACAAAAAATTACTCTTTTCATCAAGTTGGAATAGCAAATTATAATAATTTGTTTGATGGCAAAAAAATGCAGAAGCACTGAAGTATTTTGACGTCATACAGACGCAATAGCTATCAAAGCATTTTTAAAGCAGAAGGTTTACACAAATCACATGCATCGATTTATATTTCTACAATTCCACATTTTCAATGTTTTCATGACAAACATATTGTCCACTTCACAATTCATTACCAAAGCTGGAATTGTTTTTCAATATCTATTATTTGCTACCTCAACAAAATTATGGACAACAAAAAAAGCAAACAGACATAGTATTTTCACCAGAGCTCACAAATTCCACATAATGAAAAAAGTCCCAAATGAAGCAAACACAAAAAATACTGAAGCAAAGACATTCTGCGTTAACACATGAGCGATGCAGAAAATTTGAAATATCCTTGCCTTCTGAGACTCCTGTAGTCCGATGGAACAGAGAAAAAAAAACAGAATAAGAAGTTAGTTTACATTGGATACAAATACCCTGATGTCTTAAATGTCACCCCCCAGAAATACACTGAAAATATGATCCCCCCAGCAAATGAAAATTTTTAAATTATGAAAAAGACCATTATTGAATGAACTGCTAGAAGAAACTCAAATATCTGTATGGAGAACGAAATGTAAAAAAAGTACCTATTCAAAGCTTCAACTTTGACCATGTGAGGATCAACTTCGGCCTTGAACGTTTTCAGTTGGTCAATCTGTTTCTTGACAGCATCGATGTCAGTCCCAAGCGGTCCAAGTTTGCCGAACTTCTTTTCAGCCTTGGTCAAAAACTCGAGCAGATTCTGGAAGAAAAACAAAATCACCACTCTGAACAATCCCCATCAAGCCATTAACAAACATACCTGCAAAGTTTCGTGGAATTCCATCGCCTTCTCCATGGCATCGATAAGATTCTCCTCTCGCTTGGCATACAGAGCGGTGATGTTGTCCCAGGCGTTATCCAAATCTTCTATGTGCTTCTTCACCTCCGGCTTGTCCGGCTCACCGCACAGCTTCATCAGCTTCTCTCCGGAACTTCTCACCTTCTCCACATCCGGCTTGGTCTGGTCGATCTCCTGCCTGATCTCTTGCAGCGCCACCTGCTGCTCCTGGATGGCCTTCGGTTCCACAGCGGGCGCTTCCTGACTAGCCAGCGAGTCCTCGATGTCCTTCAGAGTGACCATGATGGCGTGCAGCTCCTTCCAGAACTTCTTGGCAGCTTCCAGGGCCTCCTCCAAGGACTTGCCGCGGTCGTGCGTCGCTTTCTGCACGTCATCCCACAGGTTTTTGAGCTTGTCGAGCTTGTGCTTGATGTCTTTAATGGCTGGGTCGGCGCGGTTGCCGGCTTTGTTGATGACGTCGTCGGCAGCGCGGCGGACAGCCGCGTAGGCTTCCTTGCGCTTGTCCAGATCGCCGGCTAGGTTGTCGTTGTCCTCGATCTGGTCTTTGATTTTCGGGATGTGCGCCGAAATGGGTTCTTGGTGGTTGACTTGATCCGCGGTGTTGGATAGCGCACGCAGCATGCCTTCTAGTTTGTCAGAGAACTTGGAGCTCTCTTGCAAGGCTTGCTCTAAGGCTTGCTGGCGCTCGCGCAGCGCCTGCTTCAGTTCCCCGTACCTCGCATTGTCGCTGTCCAAGAGCTCTTGCACCTTACCGCCATCATCTTCGTTGCAGAGATGAATCAGAGCTTCGCCGGTCTTGTTCAGCTTGTCGACTAGAGGCTTGTGCTCGTTGATGGCTTGTAGGAACATCTCGTTCCTGTCCTGCTGCTGCGCGATAAGATCTGGTCTCAGTGCGGGCATTGTGAGCATGTGGACTTGATCCTCCATGTCTGCCAACCAAGCGACCAAAACGTTGTGCGTGTCGTGGAAGTGTTCTGCTAGCGGAAGGGCTTGTTCTAGCACGCCCAACCTGTCAGAGCTCAGGCCAGATACCGTGTCCATGGTCTCTCGCAAGTCGTCCATCTTTTCTCTGATGATGGAGGTGTCCTCGCTAGGCGGAGATTCCCTGAGGACTTTCTTGGCGGTAGAGAGAACGTCTCTGACTCTTCCCTTCTGGCTTGAGATGTCGTCGTTGAGAGCTTTGTGTTCTTTGAGCTGTATCCTGATCAAATCCGGCTCGGCGGATGGTTTTTCGGCATCTCTCAGCTGCCCATCCACCTCTCTGAACCATTCTAGCAACTCGTCGATGTCCCCTGTGACTTCTAGAGCTCGTTGTTTGCCCAGATGGATCCTCTCCGCCCGTCTTTGTATTTGCTCTGCGATAGCGTCGAATCTCCTATTGTCCCTCGTTACTAAGCCTTCGATGGTAGAAGCGCCCTCTCCGGGGCTAGCTTGGCACAGCTGAGGCCCCAACACGTTGATCGTCTCCAGCACCGGCCTCAACTCTTGCAGATCGATTTCTAATCGGGCGATGTCGCCCTCGTGAGGATCTGCGGACTGTAAGATGGATTCAGCGCCTTGCATCCACTCTACTAGTCTGTTGTGGTTGTCGTGGAACTTTTGCACCAGCGGAAGCATAGTTTCGGCGTGTTTGAGCAAGTCTGCCGCTCTGGTGGTCAAGTCATTGTACCTGCGCTGCAGCGAATCGAGCTTGTCTTTGAGCTGTAAAGCCTCGTCGGAAGAGATGTGCCTCATGAGTTCTACTCCCGCGTCTACGGTACCGTCTACGTCATTCTGACGACCAGCGATGTCCTCTGAGAGGTTCGTGAGGTCGTCCATCTGCTCCAGCAGCTTGTCGTTGTGAACGGCTAGCACCTTGTAGCGAGCCAGTCTTTGCTCCATTTGGTCCATCCAGGCTGCGAGGTCTTGATAGGTGAGCACGAGATGCCTGAGGCCTTGACGCGAAGCAGTCAACAGCTGTCCTAGGTTTTCGCTGGCTTCCACCAAGTCACCGTATCTGTCAGTAACTGCTTGTAGGTTGTCTGCTAGTCCTGAAGCTTCGTCTTCACCAACCAGTGACATGAGGTTCGATGCTATTTCCGTCAGCTCTCTGAAATCAGGTTTCTTGTTGAGGATGTCGTTATGGAGCACTCCGTGCTCCCGTATCCTCTGCTGAATCTTCTCCTCATCAGTTGGGACGATCTCCATGTCTTTGATTTTCTTCTCGGAATAGTCCAACCATTCTTGCAAGGGCACCAATTTATCTTGGTAGGACTTTGCTACCCTCATTGCTTGTTCCAGGTCCATGGTGCGTTGCTGAGCACCTTCTGACAAAGCGTCGAAGCGCCCGATGAGCTCTTTCAATTGTTTTTCGATGGCTTTGCGTTCAGATGGATCGGCCTCTTTGGCAATATCGTTGCCCATGCTGAAGAGAGACGACATGGAACCTTGACGGTCCAACAACATCTTCTTCAGGAACTTTTGCTCCTGCAACTGAGCCTTGACCACTTTGTAGTCGGCAGATGGCGGCTTTTGATTGGCCACTAAGTCTTCGGTGTCTGTCAACCACTTGGCCAAGCCGTCTAGGGCTTCCTGGAATTTGCCGGATTGCAGCAAGCCGATGTCCAGCTTCCTTTCGCGATCGTTGATCCTCGCTTTGAGATCGTTCCACAGCGTGTTCATTTTTTCTAGGTCTTTCTCGAGCGCAGCCGTGTTGACTCCTGGGGCGGCAGACTGGATAAGCCCCTGCCCGATTTTGTTGATTTCGTCGATGTTTTTACCCAAAGGCTCGACAGTGGCCTCCCTGAATTTCTTGAAGTCTTTCTGTTGTGCTCTGATCTGGTCTATGTCGGAGCCTACAGGTTTGAGTTTACGTAACTCGCCTGAAGCGTCTTGAATATCGTCAAGGATGCTGGCTTGAGCCAAGTAGAAGCCTTCTAGTTTCTTGAGAGTGTTATCCAGGTCTTTCTCCCTGTTATGGGCGCGGTCATCTAGCTTTCCTAGCTGCTTCTTCAAATTATCGACTTGTTGCCTCGTCTGGGCAGTATCAGGAGCGAAACCGCTATCGACCAGCCTTTCTCCTGAGTGTATAGCTTCTGTCAGATCGTCGGTAGCTTTGTTCAGTTTGCTGAGGTACCTATTGACTTCGTCTATTTGCTCGCGAACGGTCTTCATATCGCGACCAGCAGGTTTCATGTGATCCAATTCGGACTCTAGAGCAGACAGATCCTGAGAAATTCCCTTGACTTGATCGTTGAACTGCGTGACAGCCGTAGCGGCCGATTGCAAGTCCGAGCAGCGATCGTCCAGTTTGCTAGCCAGCTCGTCGATTCGATCACCTAGACTGTCGACATCGTCCACCAAATAGCCAGCGTCGAACCCGCTTTCGAAAGCTTCGTTGCTTAGGTCGTTAGCCTGCTGCCTGACCAGTTGTAGCGGTTTTTTCAGCTTCAGCGTCTCTTCCCTGAGAGCTTTGATTCTGTCGAGCAGTTTGGGGTCTCTAGCTGCCCCACCTAGAGCGTCGTGGGAGGCTAGTCTATCTTCGCAGCGTTCCAAGCTGTGTTGCAAATCTCTGAGGTTCTCGTTGAAGTTAGTTAGCTTTCTGGCTTGGTCTTCAAGCGCTTGCGTTTTCAAGATCAAGTCGTTGTTAAGCTTGTCCCACCTGTCTTTGAGATCGGCTAGTTCGTTCTTGACATCGTCTTTGTCGATATCGCAGGCAGACAAGAAGGTGTCTCCCAGAGACTTGGTGCTCTCGTAATCCCCGGATTTCTTCCATACCTCGTTGCGGAAGGCCTGCAACTCCTTTAGTTGTTTCTCAATGTGCTTGCGGTGGAACGTAGATGGTCTGAAAGTTTCCAGCTTATCTTCTGCTTGCCTCAGCCAAGGCAGGAAGCTTTCTAGCGACTTGTAGTATTTCCGGCAATGCTCTTTGCAGGTTTGCAGCCGCGTGTATCTATCGACCGTTTCCTTGCGTAGTTTCTCCCAGTTTTGGCTGATCTTGTCGACGTCTCTCTGCAACGACCTGGTATCCGCTTTGTTGCTTCTGATTAGAATATCTCTGCCCTTATTCAGCAGCATGATAACCTCGTGTTCCCTAGCAAGCACGTCCCTGTAGATAGGTTCGTGCTGCGACAGCTGCTGCTCCAAGACGTCTTTGTTAGCAGAGATGAGGAACTTTTCCGTCAAGGATCCCAGCTCTTCGGACAGCCATCCAAGCGTTTTGGCGCAAGATTCTTCGAACTGTCTACCGTCACGTAGCGATCCTTCGATTTCGGCCTTCTTGTGGTCCAGTTTCCTTTGCAAGGCGTTGTACTGACGACCTACAGAAGCCAGCTTGGCTTGAATGTCGGCTCTAGATGCAGGATCGCTCAGAACGTCGCAGAGCTGAGCGCCATTAGCTTCCAAGTCGGCCAACAGTGGTCTCTGACCCTCCAACTGTCTCTCTAGGTTCTCAACCTTACGCAGCTGTTCTTCAGGATCCTTATCCAGAGGCAAGTCGTCTAGGTTGTCAGAAATGCCTTGCAAGGCGTCACGAAGCCTGGTAAGCTGCGCATCAAATTCTCTGCTAGTGTCTGCGGCTGCTCCCAGCGAGTCTGCTCGTTCTTCAAGCTTGCCCAGGATATCGGCCCATTTCTGCTGTACCGCCGTCAGTTTGTTGTTGATCTTCGTGTGATCAGGAGACTTGACGTCCAGAAAACCAAGAACGTCATCGCCGATGTGGATGAAGTGCTGCAGCTGCGGCTGCTGCGTGCGGAACTCCTCTCTCAGCACCTGAACTTGTTGCACCTGAGACTGCACCATGCGAGAGTCGCTGGAAATGGGTCCTAGAACTGTCAACATGCGTTCTTTGGCAGATAGCCAGGAAGCTAGCGAGTCGTGCGTGTCGTGGAACTCTTTCATGTTCTCCATGAACTTGATTTTGGTCTTGAGGTGGTCGTTCAAGCTCTTCCAGTGCGAAGCCACGTCTTCTAGTTCGTCGTTGAGGTTGTCGGCTCCTATGGCACCGGCTTTGCGCTTCAACAAGTCCGTGACCTGCATTTTCGTAGAGTCCAACAGCGACTGCTTCTCGTACATCTCCTCCAAGACTTGCTTGATCTGCTTGTTCAGCTTGTCGGCCTCGTCTTTGGTATTCGGCACCGAGTCCTTGGGCAGCTGCCGTTGGACCTTGTCCAAGAAGGCGCTCAGACTTCTCAGGTTGTCCAGCTGCTTTCTCACTTCCTCGCGGATCGATTCGATCTCCGATTGCCTATCGTTGATTTTGACGCCGAGCATCGAGTACCTGTTGTTAATTTCTGACAGTTGCTGTTGCACCGGCGACATTTCCTCCAAATGGAAACCGTCCTGGCTGGATCTGCGCGAAGAGAAACCGCTGGATCCTCCGGGAGACATTTTGGTGGGCGAAGGTGACCTGGTATCTTGGGACGAGAGTCGCCCGGATGTGGGCGTGGTTCTCTTGATGGGACTGTAGACTTTGCGTCTGGAAGGCGACTCTGGTCTGTCCCCTCGTAGGATATTATCGTACATGCTACCGACGTCGTTGATCTTATCGATGGTGATGGCGAAGTCTTTGTAGTCTTTGGCGATCGGCTTGAGTTCTTCGTTTTGGCGCTTGAGGGTCTCCAGGTGTACTGCGACGATGTCCAGTCGCGAGACTCTGTTTTCGGTTTTGGTCAGCCAATCGTTGACTTGCACTCTCAAGCTTTCGTAGGAATTGAAGTGCTCGGCTCTGAGTTTTGAAAGTCGAGCTTTCTCTTCCAGCAAGCTCTCCAGTTCTTTCCAGCGGTTCTCTAGAAGTTTGACGCGGTCCCTGACATTAGCGGTATCGGTAACGTCTCTCTTGTTGAGCAGCTCTTTGCCTATCTTGATGGTTTCTTCGTACATGTGGCGGTTATCGTCTCTGTTGGCTGCTATCTTCTTCATCTGGTTGGAGTACTCTTCAGCGGGGAATTTTCCCATGTCTTTGGATTCGATGATTTCCATGACGCTGTTGTACCAGTCTTCGAACTTGGTCGCTTGGTTGTTGAATACCGTCAAGTCTTGGTTGGTTTCCTCCAAAAAGACGCCACGTTTTTGAGCTCTATCGAACAGCTTTTCGAACCTGTTCCTGACGTCGTTCAGCTTGCCTTCAATTTTTTTCGCCACTCTGGCATTGCTAGTTGAAACTATCAGTTCGTTGGCGGACATGTAAATAGAATCGATTGAGGATATGTGAGTGTCGATATCAGACTGGAACACTCGGTGTTCACGCAGCTGTTCTTCTAGGCGCTCCTTCAACAGCGAGGCTGGCTTCTGAATGTTTTTGAACTGGTTTTCGGCTTGGTTCAACCAGTCTATGATGCTGTCCAAGGCGTCTTGGACGCCTTGCGATTGCACCAAGGCAGTATCGAGTTCTTGACACCTGTTCGCTATGGCGCTGCTTAGTTGGTTGTATTTGTTTTCTAGGTTCTTGACGGGCTCTTCTAGTTTGGTCATTTCCGAGGGAGAAATTTGGCCTTCGAGCGATCTTAGTAAGTCACCAGCACACTAAGAGGGAGATTTTAAACAGTTATCAAATAATTAGGGGATATTTTTGACGAGTATGTGTTATCCAGGCAAGATGAAATGATTTTTTGTTGCCTTGGACCCATGAACTGTTTCATACTTTATGTGAAAAAATAGTTGTTACTGAAGCTAAAATGACGAATCAAACGGAATGAAAATATTGAGGTGATGTTGTGGTTGAGGTAGATGAAGTTATGAGTGAATCACTGACCTGTTTGGCATTATCAATGAGCCTTCCATTTGCCACAAACTCGTTATTCAGAGTTTTGGCATTGATGAGCTGATCTTCTATCGTCTTGGGATCCCCAGCGATTGGTTCGTTCAGTAGATGGTTCGCCCTCGTTTCAGCATCTCTCAGCCAGGACCTGATTGGAAACAATATAACAATTATTGCGTGGATTATGTTCGAAGTAGTTATTAATTGCAAATATTCAACAGGAATGCTTTATTTTCTGAAGAAATCTCGGGATTATCAATGTCTACGAAAACGTGAAATATTTGTACTTCCCCAAATAGATATTAGATATTGTGAATGAATAAGACATGAATACTCTTTAGGTATCTAACAGGAATGAAATTTTGAATTTTATATAAAATACGAAGAACCAGGACAACTAATTTCTGCGGATTGCTCTAGATCAACCGCCTCTGTTTGAAAACGAGACAAGCATTAATCATACTTCAATTGTATAATATACATTTTTTATGTAAATTTATTCTGTATATTTTATTCCTTAATTGTAATATGTGTATTCTGCTATTGAATAATTCAAATTTTCCTAATTTCAATATATTATGGAAATAAGTGTGGCGTGTTTACTATGAGTGACGCATATTATTCTTAAAGTCATTCAAGTATGTCAAAATCTGACACTACAGTGTTTTTGTGCTGTTGTGTTACCAACTTGGGATTTTTTGTGTTTCAATTGATTTTCAGTGTTTTCTTGATATAAAACTATATAAAGACAAATATTTAAAGTTTATCATGGTTTGCCAGTGCGTGGATTGTGAAAAAGTTCACCATTAAAACCCAAAATGAGTATTTCGAAGGTGAGTAATATTATATGTGGTTTTTAACGTGAGCAGTGGTTTATTTATTGCAGGTTATTCAACTAAATTATTGCAAGAAACCTTGTTTTTTGTTCAAATTCCAATGATGGGAGCAATGACGCACTACGTTGCAATTTTTCAAAGTCTTCTCTTTGTAACTCATCTAACTTTTTGGATGTATAGTTGCGTTTTATTTATTTGGTCCAGCTACCAGAATCACTTTAATGTGTCGTTATATTTGCGACTTTTCCGATTCCGGTTGCTACTTTTCATTCCGTCTTACTAGAAGGAATGACGTGGTATGACTGTTGACAGTTATAAAAAAAATAAAAACGGAACTTTTTGAAAGTAGAACGCATTTAGAAGACATTTCCATCGTGAGGTTCACAAGTTTACTGTTCTTTCCAGTAGGACATGTTATGTTCATTCCCAGATAAAATGAATTCTCTTAATCTCAGAGGAGTTTCTTCAATCACCACAATCACTGCTCCAAATATTCGTTGATTCATTTTCTACATTCTCAACTTTAGTATTATGATTTTGAAATTATTTGGAGCCCCAATATATAAATATAACCTCCATATAATATGTCAATTCTCTCATGCAAGGATATGAAGTTTCTCGTTCAATGAAATTGTCTTTCTGTTCCTACCACTTCTACCAGAATGGAACAAATAAAACGCTACTTATGATTGTAAACAAATAGTGTCTTTTTATATGGCGTATTGTTTAGTAAACAATATGGATTTCGTAGGTCAAGAGACATAGAGGTAGCTGTGATGGATGTCATTTCAGATATTCAGTTACGAATAGATGACGATCACAAATGCGGCAAGCTGTCTTTGGATGTTTGTAAGGCCTTTGACACTGTAAATCATAATATTTTATTGACTAAATTATTATCAATAGGTGTCAGAGGATAAATTGATGAATGGTTTCAAAATTATTTGAAGAATAGAAAACAGAATGTTGATGTGAATAATACTTGTAGTTCCTTGATGGCAAATTTTATTTTTAATTTACATCAACTCAATATCTATTTTAAATTTAAAGGAAAACTAAAATTATTTGTAGATGATACAACAATAATCTATACTTCAAAAGATTTTGACGATATCAATGATGAAATCAAAAATGATTTGAAACAAATATCATCTTGGCTAACGACCAATAAGTTGACTCTTAATTATAGTTAATCTACGTATATGTACATCTCAAGAAGAAGAACGGATATATTGAATGATACCCCAATATGTTTGAATAACAATTCCATTGAATATACAAATATAACAAAATTTTTAGGTCTTTATATTGATGAACAATAATTATTTGAGGAAAAAATTGAATAATAAAATTCGAAATTTCATTCCTATTAGATACCTAAAGAGTATTCATTTCTGTCTTTTTTATTCAAATTTACAATATCTTATATCTATTTGGGGAAGTACAAATATTTCACGTTTGAAGCCACTCATGAAATTACAAATGAAAAGTGCATTTTCAATTCACCTTTTTTAGAATCAACTGTGAATCAATACAAACCTAAAGACTTGCTGAATCTAGATTCATTATATAAACTCAAAATTTGTTGTTTTATTCATTTTGTCAGGAATTGAAAATATCAAATTTGAATTTTAATGAAGTTGATACGATTCACGCCCATGAAACAAGGCAATTTAATTTATTGATAGCAAATAATTATAAGTCAAATTTTGGTAAACAATGGAATAATTTTATATAACTCCTTACCTAATGAGTTGAAAAATATAGAAGCAGAAAATTTTAAAATCAAATTGAAGAAATATCTGCACAGTAAACTTTTAATTCCATATCTACTAATCATTCACGATTCGATTACTTGGAATGGATTATAATATTTCCATTTTATATTTTATTATAATTTTTTTCATGAAAAACAATAATTGTGCAATTATTATTGTTTCGATTTATTATGTTATATGTATGTTTTGTTGTATACAGTATGATGCAAATATATGGAATAAATTCATTTCAAAACAAGCCGACTTTCGAAAACAAAAAAACTAGTTTAGAACTTTTTTTCGACGTATTTTTTCAACTAGACGACCCTTCGTTGTTCAATTCTCAGTAGCAGACCTCTACAAGATTCAATTAATCATCACATGATAATCCATTTTAATTTCAATCTTCTTATGCAACATTTTGACTGTTGAATAGACGATCGGTAGACCTTTCAATCAAGGTGTCACATGACCCCTATTTGTATTTGAAAAAATCGTCCATTACGTCTTTACTCCAACACCGGTGACGTAACATCTCTCATATGAATATCATGAGATGAGGCTTCAGAAATTAAAACGTGTTTTTGGGAATTTTTCAAATGTCGCCCATTTCTGAAATAATGAATTTATTCCATACATTTGCATCATACTGTATATCCCTATTATAAACAATAATGTTTCTTGGGGTAATGAAGACAATCAATCAATATGCTCCTGAGACTCACCTGGCTTTGTCGATGGCGTCAGACATCTCCCGCTGGCGTCCGCCGACACCAGACAGCCGATCGGCCAGATTGTTGGCGCGGTGCAACAGGTCCCTGTACTGTTGCGTCACCAGCGACACCTCGCTTCGCACCGGCGAGTCTTGCGTCGACAGCGGCTCGACGTGCGGCAGCCGAGACGGCAGCGTGGTGCGGAAGTCGTTGAGGATGTTGAGGTATTCCTGCAGGAGATGATCGATTCATGATGATGATAATAATAATAACGCTCTTAAAATGACGTTTCTATTACTGACACAAAAATTGGTATGTTGCTAGGCAACATATTTAGTTCCAAGGAGCAAAAGTTGAATTTTAGTTCCTAGGAGCTAAAGTTGAACTTTAGCTCCTAGGAACTAAAAAGGATGTAGTTTAGTTTAGTTTAGTTTAGTTTTTATTCATCCATTAAAGAGCTCATAAGAGCAATAGGATAAGTCAAAAGGTACACAATTCTAACACATCACAATAATACATAGGATTGAAACAAATGAATAAAATGACTTACATACAATATTTACATGTCCAAATGATACATTAATTTTGTAAAAATAAAAAGAACTCGTCAATTGTATAGGGACTGATGTCAAGGAGCAAATTTTTTATTTTATGTTTGAAATATTTTTCAGAAGGAGCATGTTTGATGTTTTCTGGAATAAGATTACTGGACGTCATCAAGAATAAACAACATTGTGACGGTTGGTTATTTGGGTTGAGACGCATACCTGATTTGTTTCCGATTTCAGCAGATTTGGCATTTCATACCCATGCTGGAGATATAAATACACCTTATTATAGTTCATTATTGGAACTATAAACATCTCAGTTGAGTATTTTTGTTTTGATCAGGGAAGCCTTCAAGATTCAAATACTTGCTTGATCTGTATTTCATTCGTTATTCTCGGGATGGATAACTTGTTTTTGGATAATCACGGCAAGCAATAGTTTTTTTTGTCTCAAACAACGATACTGTTTAGCTTCATTTGATTATCAAGTCAAACACAGTGTAGTATGGAGAGAAATAAAAATAATCACTATTATTATTGTTGATATGCTCACTAACCTAACATTTTCCACGTCTTGTTCCTATATAGCTGGCACTGGCGCGGTATTTGCCACTAGAGCACTTGGTCCATACACGAATATGTCACTCTGTGGTTGTTTTTATATTGAAACTACAATTCGGAGATCCTTAAAACCTAACCTGCTGTTAATGCAGGTAGAATATTCTCACCACATGGATTATTTGTCAATATTTGTTGCATTGCATACATATGGCACGGCATTGGTGGTTACTTCACATGTTTATTTGAGTTAATTGTTTCGGTTGCAAAAAAAATAGCATGTTTCATTCGGATCAAATGTGACTTTGTTCGACTCGCAAATTTTGCTTTCGCTCGGCTTCGCTAATCACTCCGCCTCGCAAATGCAAAATTCGCTTGTCAAACAAAGTGTCACTTTTGATCCTAATAAAACAATCTACTATTATTTGTGATTTATTGCTACAACTCCTACTATCTACTATCTACTACCCTTGCATATTTTTATCAAAAGAATTGCAGCTCTCAGTACATACAGACTAAATTCCACTGAATTGGTCAGGCGGGGTGATATTACTGGTCACATGGTCATTCTTTAAGAAATACAAACAGGGTGAAGCCTTTGAAGTGGTTATAAAAAGTCGTCCTAGACGGTTCCGCTGAGCCCCAGCTGGACAGAGGGTCCTTGTTTGGTACACCGATGGTTCGAAAACGGAAGAAGGGGTAGGCTTGGGTGAGCAAAGGACTGAGGGGTGCCAACATATACAGGGTGTCCCAAAATTAGCCTGCCAAACTTCACCAGCGGCATCTTCAATCAAAAATAAGAAGAAAAGTGTCAATGAACATGAGTCGAGAAATGTCTAAGGGAGTTACGGCCCCTTGAGAGGGGGATCCTGAAGATGATATTTCTTGAATATTCCCGAAACGCCACGTGATGAAATAATGCAATTTGATACAAGAACTTAACTTTTCATGCCCAATGCGGTGAACATAAAATCATTCCAAAGTTTCATTCAGGAGTGTATAATACAGGGTGGGACTACATTAAACATTGCTCAAACTTTTTCGTATGCATATTTTTTGACGATTCAATCTTGGATTATGAAAATCCACACCGTTTCACAAAAAAAAGTGCTCGTGTTCCGCATCGATCAGATGTATCATTTTAGAGTGAAATCGATTAAAAAATATTGATGCACTCACATCTTATGCATAACGTTGCCAATTTTCAAATCATAATGGCTATAAAAAAAATCAAGTAGTTATTTTTACCATACAACCACAAAAAAGCGCAAGAAATAGGAAGATAATGATGAAAAAACTACTTCAATTCTTGTGCATTTTTTTCCACTTCCACTACGCCTCATTGCAATGTTATGCATATTATCTGAGATGTAACAATATTTTCAAATTGCTTTTACTCGATAATAATACATCTGATCGTCACGGAACAAGAGTACCATTTTTCTGTAAAGAGGTGTGAAATTTCATAATCCGAGAATAAATTGTCGAAAAATATGCATACAAAGATTTTTGAGCAATATTTAATGCTATCCCAAACTGTATTATACATTCCTGATTGAAATTTTGAAATGATTTTATTTTCACTGCATTTGGCATGGGAATCTTATTTCTTGTACCGAATTGCAGCTTTTTATCACATAAAGTTTCGGAAATACTCAAGAAATATCATCTTCAGGGGACCGTAGCATAGGAGATATTTCTCGACTCATGTTCATTGAGAGTTTTCTTTATATTTTTGGTCGTAAAAGCCGCTGGTGGCTTCCAGGGCATGAAGGAATCAAAGGAAACGAGGCAGCTGATCGTTTTGCAAATAAAGGTGCAGCATCTGCACTCTTATCTTATAATAAGAATATTGACAAAATAGAAACTTTTATTCGGAGAAGAATAAACATTTCTCCTACTGTCCTTTTGAAAGGACACCGTCATTGTTGAAACTCTAGCTTTCGGTCATTCGATAGTAACGCAGGAAGAGGAAACTAGATTCCGATATTCTCATAAAATAGTTTTCAACAAATGCAAAAAGTGCAACGTTGCTCTTCGAGTTACTTGTTTCAAACCGTTTCAAACCCTACTATGACAGAGACTAGCTGAATCATATTCTTCATTCAATTTAATGTTCAGAATGGTTTTTATGTTCTTTTATATTATAATTAGAATATTGACATAATAGGAACGTCTATTCAAGGAAATGTCATCCATTTGCCTACTGTCCTTTTTAAAGGACACCGTCATTTTTGAAACTCTAGCTTTCGGTCATTCGATAGTAACGCAGGAGGAGAAAACTAGATTCCGATATTCTCGTAAAATCGTTTTCAACAAATGCAAAAAGTGCAACGTTGCTCTCCGAGTTACTTGTGTCGAGCCCTACTATGACAGAGACCAGTTGAATCATATTCTTCATTCAATTTCATGTTCTGAATAGTTTTTCTGTCCTCTTATATTATAATTAGAATATTGACATCATAGAAACTTCTATTCAAGGAAATGTCGTTCGTTTGCCTACTGTCCTTTCAAAAGGACACCGTCTTTTTTGAAACTCCAGCTTTGAAAATATTCAGAAACGTCAGAACAACATTGTCCAGCACTCTACCTGAACCTAGTATGGAGAAAGATAAACTCCACCCACCTTCCCTTCGTCGACGAACTTCTGCGCCGACATCGTGATGAACCGCAAATCGGCCTGGTGAGCGATCACGTCGCTCACGAACTCACGCGTGCTGTCGGCGCTCGCGCCCAACCTGTCCAGGTCGCTCAGCGAGCGCTCTTTGTCCTCGAGCACGCGGCGCGACTGCGCGAGCCATCCCGAAAAGGAGGCGAGCTCGCCGCGCAGCTTGCCCAGTTCTTCCCTGGCGGCTAGAAGGCGTCGCAGAAGTTTGTCTGTTCTGTCTACGGATTTCTCGTAGCGAGATTTCAGGTTTCGACCGGACTTTTCCAGGGCGGACACTTCGCTTTTCGACAGGATGTCACCTAGAAAAATTTAACTTAATTATATGATCTGTTACAGTAAAAAAATTACATGTTCTTCCAGAGATGCCGAAAAAAACACTTAACCATTTAACTATGATGAATTTTTGACCACAAATAAATACACCGAAAATTCTCACAGTGGTTCAAATACTTCCATGAATTTTCCTTAAACATAATAAGTAATATTATTTGTTACAGTTTTCCATTCAGACATTCTTGAATTATGGATTAAGGCAGTTCGTAGAGAGAGTTGGACTCCATCTAAAACCAGCAAGCTTTGTGGAGAGCATTTTCTGCCAACTGATTATTTATTTAGACATACCAGGTACTGCTGGGTTATTCAAACCAGATGCTGTACCCAGTATATTTCCATTTCCTAAGCATTTGTTACCAAAAAATACTGACCCTTGAAGGAAAATAAGAAAACTCATAGGTACCTAGTTGATTAATAATGCACCTCTTTAAAATAAAAAAATAGCTAGTAATTTATTTTCAGGATGCATCTGTGGAAGTTCATAACATTGGGACCTAAGGAAGATGTTTCTCATATTATAGACTTTACCTATGACTTCCAGCTCCCAAGTTTCGGACATGGTAAAATAGGAACCTATGGAAATTATGCTCAAAATGGACCTTAGGTAGTCATACCATTCAAGAACCTCTTTTAAAATTTTTCCTATCGTTTTTCTTTTTCTTCTGATTGTGCTAAGACAGTGTGCTTCGCTCACCCTGTACAATATATTGTGACATTTGAATGAAAATATATAATTTCAATCTTGTTTTCATTTGACTTCCTAATCCTGTGAGAATTAAAACGGAATTTCATTTTTATGTCAATAAAAAAAATCAAAAATAATTTTTTAATGACTATTCCACTCTTGATCTCGAGAACCAATCAGAATCGACCATTTTCTCGGTTTCTTCTGTATTCTAGCGATATTTTTTGTTTATTAAATTTTATCGGACTTGCTCTACCAATACAGAAGCCGAATTGACCCACACGTGACCAACAAACCTCGTTTATCAGCGATAAAATTTTGACATCGTGTCTGGTCAAGATTGCTTTGTATTCAAATCTGACACAAGAGACAATAACCTAAGTACCTACTTCATTTTATTTACTTATAATTCGCGTTAGTGAGACATTTTGTACGAAAGGCGAGACAATTTCATTCTGGCTGGACGTTTCATGTGTAATTTAATAAGTTTGCATATTTGTTGACGGTCTGACAACAATACTAGAATTTAAATTCCCATTTGAAGTAATCTTCTTCAGTCACTCAAGTTATTGTGCCCAATTAAATCCAGGTGATGTGGCTCAACTGATAGGGTTGTTGCACGGTGATACGAAGGTCGGTGGTTCAAGCCCGGCGGCGACAATGATTTTTTTTTAAATTATTTCATGTCACATAAATTCAATTTATTTTGTTCGAATTGGATAGCAAATGTATACACTCTTTTGAGAGCAACCATCTCTAATAATAATAAAATACTGTTCATCAAAATTGTACATTCCACTTTGTGAATTACTATAAGTAGGTAGTTAATTTCTAAAAAATTTAATTCTGTATTTCATTACTATCATTATGTTTTTCTTCGCAGTTTGAGTTGGAATATACTTAAATTATGTTTCCTATTTCTTATATATATTGTCTCATTCAATCATGAAATAGTCATACGAATACAACTCGTGATACTATTTTTCCTGGAAATATTCGTCGATTGACATACTCCAGCTTGCTGCTCTGATTTCGCTCATGACATTGATCCAAAACTACTCGACTACAGCTCGTAGTTTTGATAACAATGTCATTCACGAAATTACTAGGCAACAAGCTGTCGTAACAATCACCGAATATTTCCGGCAAAATATTATCACTTGTGGTATTATATATGATAATTTATTGCAACATTTTCCTTTTCCTATATGAATATTTTTAGTTAATCACGTTTACTCTTAAATTAAAGCAAAAAACGAGAAAATATTTCAAATAATGCGAGCGCTTCCCATTAGCGAACATAAGATAAAGATAGGTATCCGTAAACACTGCGGGTTGCCTGAACAATATTTTTGCCTCACTCGTCGTGCACAGAGGGTCCCTTCCATTTTTTTATGTTGAGTTCATTGATTTTGAGGCGGTGAATTACCTGCAGTTAATACCAACTGTCTGACTTGCTCTCCGCAATGGGCCACAGGACCGGCATGCTGGTCGAGATCGTCTTTGACCTGCTTCATGATGTTGATCTGGTTCCTGAGCTCCTCCTCCACCTCGTGGATGACGTCCTGAGAGGCGATACGGTCTTCGACCTGTCCTATCCAGTGCAGCAGCTTCGACAAGGTGTCGTCGCAAAGCTTATACTTCTCCTCTACGGCTTGCTGGAATTTCGAGCAAAATCAATTGACTTTCCTTCGGGAAAGAGGGAGAGTTATTTTCTTCTACGATTGAGCTAGGAACTCGAGAGAAACCAGAGATATACGTTGTGTGCCACTTGAGATGGAAACGATTATATTAAATTTAATAGTTGCTGTAAACACTGGCGCACCCAGGGGGTGGGCTTTAGGGCTCGAGCCCCCCCCAAGACAAAGTGTCAGAAAAATATTTTTCGCAAATATCACTTTTATCATTAAAGACTGCATACGGGTATACAATGCCGCTAAGTAAATTTTTACAAACAAAAAATATGGATATATGTAGTGCTTTCAATTTTGCGGAAACTGTAATTCTTCAGCTGCAATCACTCAGAGAAGAAGCTGATACAGGATTTCATCAAATATTCTTGAATGGACAAGACCTTTTGAAAAATAATTTTGGGATTGAAATAACGGTACCCAGAACTGTGTCTAGACAAAAGCATAGATCCAATATAACTACTAATACCCCTGAAGAATATTACAAAATCACAATTTATTTACAATTATTAGATGCTCTCATTATGAATATGAAGGAACGATTTTCAATACACAAAGAAATTATTAAGACATTCAAAGTATTATTACCAGATCCAAATAATATAGAACAAAATCTCAATGATTTTTTAAAACTACATGCTTTTTATTTTAAAAATGGATATTCTTTTTTTGAAGATGTAATGATATCTACTGAATCCATTTTGATAAGCGAATTCCGTTTATGGAATTATAAGTTCAAGGAAATCGATACCCGGCCACTAAATGCCATGCAATGCTACATAGTTTGTGATCAAACTTTATATCCTAATATAAATATACTCCTAAAAATTTTTGTAACACTTCCCATAACTACCAGTACGGCTGAAAGGTCATTCTCATCATTGAGAACATTGAAAACTTACTTAAGAAGTACTACTGCGCAAAACCGGCTGAATGGTCTGGCATCACTTTTTATTCATAAAGATATATCGGTGTCTCCTGAGGAAATATTAGATAATATGACTTCTAAAAGAAGGAAACTAGATTTTTAAGAATTGTTGATTTTGCACAAAATGTTTTTACCTTCAGAATGATTTTTTAATAGAAATTACATATGTATCATTCTGTTTATCATTGTTTTTCATTTTCCCAGAATTGAACCCTAATTTATATATTTTACTATTTTCATTGGCTTCTATGAGCCCCCCCCCAAGAGAAATTCCTGAGTGCGCCAGTGGCTGTTAATCCTCAAATAGTAGGGATATTTCATTCAAAATAGCCGTTAAATCCGGTTACAGTATTTAGGTGAAGGTGGTGGGAGGCAACTACGTCATAATGACGTTAACATCAACTATTTTTGAATTCTTGTTTTTTCACTTTACCAAACTTCCACAGTTTACCTATGTTTCTCCCACTTCGACATCCACTCCATTATTTTTAATCTGAATGTTCATATCATATCCGCTATTTTCCACATTCTTCATATGCAAAGAAATATTCAAGTTTTAACCACCTTCACCAACTACTATGGAGTTGGTAAACCAAAGGGCAGGTAGGGGAGGTTTACCAAACGGAAATGACGTCACGGTTAAACACAATGAAATGAGATTATTAGCTTTAACCAAAACGGGTTATAAGAATGAAATATCCCTAGTGTGTAGAACAGTTCGGATAGATGATATAGTTTCTGAAGTGTGTTGATATGCGACGGCGGCTGTGTTCTGAAAATTTTCTGTAATTTATTCACATCATTTACAGAGTCAATATTAAATACTTTTGACAGGATGTAATTTTAAATTCCTCGTTCTTGAAATTTCTCAGGGTTGCGACGATTTAAATCAACTGAGTTTTTCAATTTGAATCATGATTTAAAAAGAATATTATAAATCACTGTGAAAACATGTCGCCGAAGCAGATATCTTATCAGGATATCGAAAAAAGAAAGATACTTTATTCAAAACTATGTGTTTACATAGATTATGTGAGAGTGAAGACGAATTTCCTTGTTCCGACAGAAAAGACACAGCACGCTGCCAAAAATTTCCATTTCAACGCAAGTTTTTTTTGTATATTTCCAATATCTCTTCGGGTTTCACCGGAAATTGACTTAGGTTAAGAATATCAAATGGTACCCTGCATATATTTTGAAGCCATTTGATTGAGCAAAAAAATACCCTCAATGATATATCACAAATGGAGATTCCTTTCCAAAATGGCGACGCAGGAGACATTTTGTCTAAAATCAATATGACAACACTGTGACGTCATCGATCGAATTTTCAACAAACAACCTGATAAAATATGAAATAGACGGAGCACTTTGATTAGTTTTTGATGAAAATGCGATCATTTTCATTCATAACCAATCAGGATTCCTTTTATTCATTCTTTCAAATGGCATTATTCCTCTTGAATTTTTCGAATTTGACAAAAGTTCCATTTTTCCTATTTAAAATTTTTGGGGAAATTCAATAGAAAGGCTGTCATTCGAAAGGATTACTAAAATAAATCCTGATTGGCGATGAATCAAAATTTTCGCAGGTTTCATCAGAAACTGATTGAAGTGTTTCGTTTATCTGTTTTTTTCAATTTATTTGTCCATACAGATCTGATAGCCTTTATACATGGATCGATTCACCAATACATTTTATAGCAAAATAGTATTTTTTTCTTCATTCATACTATTATAAGAAATGTAGGGAGTTTCTTATAAGAAGTTGTACAACTCTACGACACTCAAACAGTAATAACTGTTTATGATGAAAGGTTGATTACTTGATTGATAATCAGTCTATACAGTGTCATTCATAAAGTCGGCATCATATGGGAAAAACTTTTATTAATGACTTATTTTGGAATTCGAGTTGGACGTTGAGTTTTGCTTCAAAAAAGATGTAAAATGGCCTACTCAATCGGGGTCACGTGACCGCTACATGTCAAAAGTGACATTTTTTCAAATTAATCGCTGAAAGTAGGCTTTTTTTGTTCGAATATCGAAAAAGTTTGCTGGAAAAAGTTGTTTCTATTCCAATTTTACACATGCTTCTCGAATTTGATCTTTCTATTGCAACTTTTGGATTTTGATTTTTTTTTTATTTTTCGAAATTTCTGTAATATTTGGAGAATTGTTAATTCCACGAAACTACTTCATACCAGTAGCTTTTTCATGCTACTTACTTTCAATTACTTATCATCACTGATTATGGACAGAAATATGATTTTCTTCAGAAAATGATAATACCCGCTTCCAAATTCTGTTATGTTTGATGCAAAGTTGATATATTGTCAAGCATTTAGAAACGAAATTCATTTAAACTGATCTTTTCAGTACTGAAAATATTAATTTAAATGAATTTTGTTTCTAAATGCTTGACTCAAACATGACAGAGTTTTGATGTTATGTTTGCATCAAACAGAACAACAGAATTTTGAAGCGGAGATTATCATTTTCTGAAGAAAATCATATTTTTGTCGATAGTTAGTGATAATTAGTAATTGAAAGTTAGTAGCATGATGAAACTACTGGTATGAAGTAGTTTTATCGAATTCACAATTTTTTTAATATTACAGAAATTTCGAAAATTTTCAAAAAATATCGAAATCTAAAAAATGTAATAGAGAGATAAAATCCGAGTCACATAATGTAAAATTTGAATAGAAACAACTTTTTCAAATGAACTTTTTCGATATTCGAACAAATGAGCCTACTTTCAGCGATTAATTTGAAAAAAATTCACTTTAGACATGTAGCGAAAGTCACGTGACCCCGATTGAGTAGGCCATTTTTCATCTTCTTTGAAGCAGAACTTAACGTCCAACTCGAATTTCAAAATAAGTCATTAATAAAAGTTTTTCTCATATGATGCCGACTTTATGAATGACACTGTACATAGAAGGCAGATTCTATTCCAGGTTTAACATTCCCTCAAAATTATTAGCTAAGCGCAAAATGGTTGCTAGTGGAGCTCTGCAACCTGAAATGGACAATGAAATCTTGAAAAGTACTGTAAATGGGGTTCGATGAGATGGTTCATTAAATGGAATCAATGACAAGATATCTGATGAGTTTATCTTATTGTTCACAACTTTATACATATAGAAACATCATTGCTAATAGGTTTCTTCTTTGTTCTAAGGCTAAGATTTTGAATTCCTTCTTTAGTTGTACCATACGGACATAATTATAGTCAGGCCATACGTGATTCTTTTTGAATATAGGTTTCTAAGGAATTTATTCTGTATTTTTTCAATTCCCTTAAGGATTGTTATGTGCTCTTCTAACCACATCACAGAAGCAAATTCAAGTTTTTTTTACTAAGTTGCTTGCGAAAAATTCGATCGATGATGTCACAGTTTCGCCATATTGATTGTAGACAAAATGCCTCCTGCGCCGCCATTTTGTAAATAAATGTCCACTTGTGATATGTCATCGTATGCCATTGAAAAGGTTTTTTTCTGCTCTATCGAATGGAGCGAAATATAAACAGAGTTCCATTCAAAATTCTTGACTCAAGTCAATTTCCGGTGAAACCGAAAGTGAAATTCAATTGTTTTTTATGGGATTTAAGGAACTGTATCACCTTTACGAATTTCAAAATTTCAACATAAAAAACAAGTGGATGAAAACTCAAATAAGGTTCCATCTCTAGAGGAACACAATGTATATGAAATTGATAGGTTGAAGGAAGATTATAAATCGATAGAAAATGAATTTCAAATAGTCCACAGACGAAAAATAGGTATATCGTATGGAGTTTGAGAAATTTTATAAATGCGGCATACAGACACAAAACACCCTAGACCTATCACATGCATCCAATAACACACACACAGACAGTTGTTAGTGAATAAAATAACGAAATATGGTTTTACCTATCATAACGACCTGTGAAAAAAATGTATTCAATTAATTGGCACAAATATAATAAATTTTCAAAGTATTGAGGAAACACAAATAATGAAAATACTACTAAAAAATAATATTTCATAATATTAGCCAAGTATATTGCTACATAACGATGTTAGCTGTTCAAGTAATCATCATTTATAATATGTACACAGAACTGAAAAATCCATTTTTAATGTGAAAAGTATTTTTCACCATGATTAAGATGTTATTGTCAGTAGATGAAACTAAGTTAAAACTATTGTTAATCTCTCCATATCATAGAGAATATTGAAGGTTAGGTTTTTTTTATTTTTATTAATATTTCATATGTGATTCTGTAACTGGAAATGTTCAGCAATTTTATAATCCATTGAAAAAACATTACATTAGAAATATGATCAAAATGAGACCTTCTGTTCATCTACTGATGATAACAAATAATGTGGTCTCTTATATGATCAAATAAGTTCATAATTAATTGTTGACACTGAGAAAATTAGAAGTTAATAAATTCAAATGTGCCAAATTAAACAACAATGAATATGAACGATATGCACTAACTACCTATTATCTAATAAAATGTGATAATGTTTTTGTCGAACCATAATGATGAAGGGGGTCGATGATAAGCGCTGGCAGTTTTGAAACTCCAAAAAGGTCAAAGTTCTTGGAATTTCAATCAACCTTTATGTTACGTATGAACAACACATTAAGCCAATCCACAACGTTAAATGAGAGGTGCATGATGCAGTCGCTATGCTTTTTAAAGGCGCTAGCTAATGCCCTCGAGGAATGCACTGACAGGGGAGCCACCACACCAAACTGGAAAAAAATCAATCAACGTGTCAGTTTTCAGTTGGTAGTGATGAAGCTAGTAGACTCGAAATCATATCAACAACTTTATTGAACGGGGTCATGTTTCGCACATATATAGGTTTATCATCAGCAAATTATTGAGTAATGGAAGGTTTATTGCTGATGGACTCATGCCCCGGCTGAATTTCATTTCATTTTTTCATTTCATTTATTCAATTTTCCAGTCGATAATTACAAAATTGTATAGGAATAGTCAAAGGGGGTACATGTAAGTAGAATACAAAATAGACAGAAAGGAAACTAACACATAACACATAAGTGTGATTAAAGAGATAGCAAACATACACGCATGTAGCTTATTATTAAAATTGTTGGGGAAGATACTCTTCCACCGAATAATAACATTTTGTTTGTAATAATTGTTTCAAGGATACTTCGAAAGGAGTTAATGTCCTACATTGTTCAATTTCGGCAGGTGGAGCGTTATAAAAACTGATTGCCATGATATTAGGCGACTGTCATCTTACTAAAAGGAATGTAAAAATCATCTTCACGTCTAGTATTAACTCCATGGCGAGAACTATTAGTATTAAAATTGTCTTTGTTACTAAACACATAGAGACATGATTCTAAAATGAAAAGGGAAGGTACCGTGAGTATTTTGAGGTCTATGAAAATGTCACGACACGAAGTTCTGTTGGACACACTCACCAAGGAACGGATAACGCGTTTCTGAGAAATGAGAACATCTTGTGATGAGGCTAGATAGACCCCAGAAGCATATACCATAACGGAGACAGCAGTCAATTTGACAAAAATAAAGATTTAGTAGTTGTTCTCTGTTCAGAAAATTTTCAAAGTTTCTGAATTGATAGGAGTAGGAATACATTTTGGATTTCAATATTTCGCAGTTTTTGTGCCAATCTGAGCATTCATCGATGTAGAAGAAGAATGAAGTTGAAGGGATGATTTAGAGCCTAATTGCTTTATCGTCACTACCTTAGATTATTCGATTAGTAGGTTGAGATCACGCAAGTTTTTTGGAATGAGAGAGAAGATTTTCGTTCTGCCTAGCTATCTATAATGTGATTAGGAATTCATTCCTACACCACTTCAAACCGTATTTTACCAAGCTCTATACGGGTCGTATTTCAATAAAAAACAAATTATTTTGCATTTTTTATCAAGAATTTTCTTCACAGTTGTTTGGTACTGGGATTTATATGCATCACTGAAGAATGAAGTTTCAACAAGCCTCATTTCCTATGAAATATTGATATATCCCAACTTTACACAAGAAAACTATACAGGTCATTTTATCATCGAACGATAGAGCAATGTGAAAGTCTCGAAAAAATGTGTTGTTGATTGAATGTAGACTTTTAGTACTCAAAATCTGGAATTCATTGCCTGAGGAAGTATTTCCAAGAACGTATGATCTCCAAAAGTTAAAAAAATTCTAACACCTACTTCCTCTTCCTATCATCCTTAAGTACGCGCGATGTTCTTGGAACATAATAGAGATTTCCTTTCGTACGCACCAAGCGATGCAAAAATCAACTTTCCAAAATGTCAAATTGAGATATTGTTCAATGAAAAAATTAAGAGCTGCCTAATACTCTCACGGTTAGTCGGTATTAGAATGTCAAAATGAAAACTTGAAGTTAATGGAAATGAATATTCTTTTCATTAACATTATATTCCAGCATTTTGTCTATTTCTTAGTTTCATTATTTGTAGTTTTGAAATGTGGTGTGCCACAAGAACCAGATTTAGGGCCAGGTTTGTTCGATCAACAGACATAAATGGATATTCGAATTTTCCTAGCCGTCTGATACATTCTACGATACTGAAGGATCTCTTGTTTCATGTCTTGGTAGGTTGAACGAAAATCTCCTCTCGCAACGATATGATAAATCGATAATACTCCTTGGTGGTCAATTAGAATGAATTTTAATCAGCCAATGGTATCGAAGCAATCTAAATGTCGAACGAGAAGCATTCTACATGCACGCCTAAGAACCAAAATATCTTTTCAAACTTACCCGTTCCTCGGCTGGCAAAATCAACCCCCTCTCGAGCGCCCTCGCTAGATCTATATACTTATTGTCATTTTTATCCTGCAGCTTCCCAGCCACAGCATCAACCAGCCCAGCATCTATTGACTGCAACAGAGGCACTATCAAACCATTCTCTGTGTCTTTAACGACAGTACTACTCGGATCAATCAAGTTTTCCGAAATGGCCTCCGACAGCGTGATCTTCCTCCTGTCGATGATGCTAGTAGTGACGAAGGGATCGTTGAAACACCCAGTAGTGGGATTATACAGACCATAAACAACAGCTTCGATCAAAGTGAAGCTTCTATTAGTAGTGGCTAGCAAGCCGCTGTCCAAAGCGGCAGACAAACTATAAAGTTTCGAGGTACTGCTGTCCAAGACGTTACCCTTCTCGGAATCTATGAGGCCCTTTCTAAAGCCTTCGGGAAGCTTGATCAATTTCTTTTTGTTGGAGTCTTTGATGAGCGCCGTGTCTGGATCGATGAAACCAAGGGTGAACGATTCCTTCAACGTCAAAACCTGATCGGATTGCGGAACAGAAAACTTACCCGTCGCGATGTCTAAACAGTTATTTTCGATGGCTTGAATGAACGTCTGAGGTTCCTTCAAGTAGACCAGCACGCCTTGATCAAAAGTGACCACGAGAGATTTTACTTTGCTCGAAGACGAATCGAACACCACTAATTTCGTCATGTCGAGTTGTTTGTCGGCGATTGCGTTAGCAACCGTTTTGAATAGCCCGGTTTGGAAGTCCTTGACTACCGCCACCTCTGGATCGATCAGTTCGAACTTGATGGCTTCCTCTAAGCTACATTCGCGAGTCTGTTTAGGCGCCGCCATTGAATCTACAACCGCTCTCTGCTCGAACTCCTCAATGAGAGGTTTGTCCACAGTAACCAACAGACCCTTCCTGAAAGCCTCGTCAAGGTTATACGTCTTCTTGGACTTCGAATCCAGAACTCTACCCTTCTCGACATCGATATTATGTTCTTGGATAGCCATCAAGAGCGATTTGACCGAGTTGTTCGTCATGTCCTTCAAAGCAGTCGTTTGTGGTTCGATGAAACCTTTGGAGATTGCCTGAGACAAATCGTAGAATTCCCCTGTAACTGGGTCCACTACTTTACCGGAGTCCGGCCTGTACAGCACGTTCCTAATCGCCTCTTCCAAAGAGAGAGGTGAGCGAGAAGTGACTATCAAACCCTTGTTCTTAGCTTCCATCAAATCGACGGTTTTGCCATGAGGATAAACGTAAAGGCCTAGTTGGTCGTCTATGAGCCCGGTCTCGATAGCGACAGGTAGTTGTACGTATTTGTTTTGCTTGCTGTTCCTGACTAGCGACGTGACAGGGTTGATCAGTTCGTTCTCGCAAGCATCTTTGAGGTTATATTTCCGGCCGCTAGCCGGGTGTACAAAGACGCCTTCCTCTGGCACAAATAGACCCATTTCTAGAGCTTCGTATAAACCGAAATTGGCGGATTCAATGTCCACTATCAGCCCCGAACTCATCGCTTCCGATAGCTTGATGCTTTTGTCGCTATGCGGCTCTCTGAACGTCCCGTTGCATTTATCGATGATGCCTTGCCGGCACGTCTCCGTCAGGTTGTAAAGCCTACCTTCTCTTCTATTGAAGTAGCAAGGTAGCAGCGGGTTCACATTGAAATTGCGTATGGCCTCGTGTAAAGTCACCTTCCGCTCGGTATTAGGATCCAGTATTTTACCGGTATTCTCGTCGTACAGACCCTGGTGTATCGCCCTCTGCAAAGACACCGCAGCCTTGTTGTCCACCAGGATCCCCAGCGTGAAAGCTTTCTGCAAAGTCACCTCGTAAGCCTCGCCCTTGGAGAAATCTTTCACCAACCCCGTGTTACCGTCAACGTAGTTGTTGTGAATGGCATCAACCAGCGGTATCTTACGCCATATGCCGATACGAGTGTCTTTGACACTAACCGACTCGGCATCGATCAGATTGATCTCTATGGCCTCGATGAGGGTGAGGTATTGACCGGTCTGCGGGTCCAAGAACAGCTGAGACTCCTCGTCGTAGATACCTTTGGCGATGGCTTCGCTCAGAGGTATGGGCGGCCTCACTTCGACTAGCAAACCTCGTTCGAAGGCCTCGTTGAAGTCGACCGGTTCGTTATAGCTCAACAGCATGCCTTCGTTGGTGTCGATGATGCCGTCGATCATGGCTTGCTCGAAAGTGACGATTTCCTCGTCGATGGTGACCAAAGTAGACGAAACGTCGACATAGCCGCGATTGATGGCGCTCGAAGCCTTTAGTCTTTCCTTATTCTGGGGGTTTATGAATTTACCAGTGGCCGGATCGTAGAAGCCTTTGAAAACGGCTTCGGGAAGGGTTATCTGGTTTTTGTACGGAACGACTAGACCTTTGTCGTAGGCCTCATATAGGTTCATTTCGGAGTTGTTTTGTGGATCGAGAGCTTGTCCTTTGACGGGATCGATTAGGTTGAGTTGTATGGCGTCGTTTAGAGTTATGATGTCGCCGGTATCGGGATTTTTGACAGTTAGCACGTTAGGGTTCACTACTCCACCATCAATAGCTTGAACTAGCGTTACATTCGTGTTGTTGACGGTAAACAGTCCAGTTTTCGGATCATACACTTTTTGAGCTAGCGTTTCCTGTAGAGACCATGGCAGAACTGTACTGAGTATATAACCTCTCAGATAAGCTTGATCTAGAGGCAGTAAGGGGTTAGTCAAGACACCTTTCTCGGCGTCAACTAGGTTGGTAATGACTGCTTCTTTGAGCTCGACAATACGTCCACGCCTGTCATCCTTGATTCTCGTCGGTACAGGATCGACTAGTTTATAATCGATCGCCTTCTGCAGCGTTATCTCATCTCCGGTTATCGGATTCAAAATCAAACCCGTACAGGCAGAGTAGTAATTCTGGATGACTGCTTGCAATAAGCTGAACACGACCGGTCTAGTCTGGATGAGCTGGAGATCTAAAGCTCTGTGCAACGGCACAAGCTCTCCTGATTTAGTGTCCTTTAGTTTACCGCTTTGAGAATCTACGAGTCCTTGCTTGAGTGCCTCGTCTAGGGACACGAAAGCATCAGCCTTCACGTCCTTCACTTCGCTTATTTTATCGTCAAGGATTTGTCTATCGACAGCTTCGGCAATGCTCAACTGTGTTTTAGTCAACGGATCTTTGATACTACATGACTCAGGATCGTAAATGCCTTTGTGGATGACAGCAGAAAGAGATATCGGTCTTGGCATGGCGAGAACGAAGCCTCTCACGAATGCTTCGGGAAACAGGATTGTTTGTTGGGTAGCCGTGTTGACCACTAACCCCCTCTGAGGATCCACTATAGATCTGTCTACTGCCTCGTAGTAAGGCACTAGCTGCATGTTCTTAGGGTCCCTAATGGTTATAGATTTGCCATCTACCAAATTCGAAGTGATAGCTTTGATGAGCGGTAAGGTCTTACCGTCCACGGTGACGGTAACATCCACAGGATCGAACTCCTCAGTTTCTACGATTTCTTGTAAGGTCAACGGTTGATACTTCTCTTTCGGCTTATCGTTCACGTGTATGATCCACCTCATCTTGACAGCTTCGAAGAAGGGCACCTTCTTGCCTGTCTTCGGGTCTACCATATACCCGGTGTTCTTATCTATCAAAGGTCTATTCAAAGCCTCCTCTAGCGTGATATAAATTGCTGGTTTCTTAGTCGAGTCTTTCACTAAGATAGAGTCGGGGTCGAAAACTCTCAAGCCGTAAACCAGCTCTTCGAAGGTTATGTGATTGCCGGTTTGTGGGTTGACGAACATGCGAGCTCTCGGGTCGTATAAGCCTAGCTCGAGCAATTTTTGTGCGGTTATGTACTTCGAAATGGCCAACAAGGCTGTCGGGTATTCTTCGGTGAATACGACTTGATGATTGGAAATGATCCGAACCTCATCGAGAGGACTGATTTTGTTCTGGTCCAAACCGTCTTGGACGGTGAAAGATAACTCTTTGTTGTTGCGTAGGATCCGGCAAATTTTCGGTTCGATTTTGTTTTGTGTAATGGCATCTCCCAGTGGCATTATCATCACATTATCCGGCTCGTCTATAATGACGGTTATTTCCTCTTTTATTTCATCATCGCTAGCTTTGCTGACAGGTTTCAAATTTCTCTTTGTATAAATTAGATCTTCGGGCCTGTCTACAGAATCAACAGGTTTGGGAATAGGTTTCAAATTCTTCTGCGAGATATCTGTTGTGAGGACACTCGTGCTTTCAGAGGAACTTTGTTTTCTAGTTTCAGCGTAGTCTTTAATAGATTTGATCGCAGCAGCTCCAGCAAGCACTGGCAGTACCACAGGTGCCGCTAAGCCTCCCAATACGGCAATCAACCCTTTCTTTGTAGCCTCTTTGAAATCGATAGCTTTCCCAGATTTCTGATCTTTAACCTTACCAGTTTTCGGGTCCAGTAGGCCCTTACCTAGCGCTTGTTCAACCGTTACAGGTTTGTGAGAAGTGACATCGTACACCATACTGTTGGGATCGATTATTTCTCGTTCCACAGCTTCTTTGAACGTCAGCTGTTTGTTGTCATCTGAAGGATCGCTGAAAGTGCTTGTCTTCTCATCGTAAATAGTTTCGAAAGCTTCCGCGATATCAAGTTCCGTAGTCTTCTGTGTCGTGTGCTGAGTCACTTCTGGTACAGCAGACAGTTTACCTTCCTGAAGAGCTTGTTGGATCGTCACTTTCTCACCGGAACTAGGATCCGTGAATATACCAGCGTTCATGTCCACCAAGCCCCTGTTCAAGGCATCCGAAAAGCTCATCTTGATGTCTTTCACTATGGTTTTGTTTTTGGTTTCGTTGACGTCTCTGACGATGCCTTGCAGCCGAGCTTCTTCTATTGACATAATCTGACCAGTTTCGAGATTTTGAACTTCTTTTTTATTCAACAAGGCGTATCCCGATAAAATTTCCATAGTGGTAGTCGTGACGGTGTGAATTGTGTTGATGGTTTCTGTGAGAGTTGTGATTGGAGTTGAGCTTGTAAAGGAGACACTTTGTGGTTCTTTGAGTACCAGCAAACCATTTTCCACCGCTTCAGACACTGGGTACACCTCGCCTGTCTTGGGATCTGTAAAAGTAGCTTTTTCAGCGTCAATCAAGTTGGACTCTAAAGCATTGTCGATACTTATCGATTGAGGACTAGTCGGGAATGGTAGGGTCATAATAAAATTGTCTTCGATAGCAACGCTTAATGGAATGGTTTCGTTCGTGACAGGATTTGTAATCACTTTAGTTTCTGTATTCACTAGCCCTCTTTTCACAGCAATGGGGAAGGTCATGCCAGCAGGAGGCAAATCCATCGGTCCCACAGGCACTGTCTCGTCGAATATCTTGTCTTTCACTGCTTCCTGTAAATCTAAGCTACCTCTATCAGTCTCCACAATCGACTTTTCGTCATCGACCACTCCAGTCTCTAGAGCTCGACCCAAAGTCACTTTGTCTCCAGACTTTTCCGTCAAAGTACTGAGAGGGTCGATAATATCACAGACTATAGCTTCGCTTATGCTCAAATGGGCTCCGGTTTCTGGGTGCACCACCTTATGGCTTTCCGGGTCGATTAGACCCTGTTTGAGCAGTTCGGGAATCGAAAGGCTTCGATTCAAAGGCACCAGTAGTTCGTTCGTACCATCAGGATCCAAAATGCCTCTGCTGATGGCTTCGTTAATCGTCAGCATGTCTCCTCGTTGGGGATCAACGATTTTTCCTTGTTTGCCATCCAGTTGGTGTGCTTCCAGAGCTTCTTGCAGAGTGAGTTTGTCGCCTTCCGCGGAGGTGAAAAGCTCTTTTTTTTCTAGGATTTGGGCCGTTTCCAGATCGATCATACCCGTTTGCAGAGCTTCCTTGGGCTTCACGATTTTTCGCCTCAGCTTCTGTAGCACTACCCGCTTCGCTTCTCTTTCGGGACTCAGAGATTGCGCTCTGCCTATTTTCACTTTGTACGTCGGTTCGATAGTTATTCTTGCTCTGGTCTTATCAGCTTCCGAAAGGGCACTGGTATCGTCTAAGCTAATAGAAGCTGTACTGAGCGTTTTGATTTTGGATGTTTCTGGTTTCTGTGGTACTAGTTCCTCTAGTTGCTGAGGTGTGACCATGCCTCGCGCCAGAGCCTCTTCTGCGCTGTGGTAATGCCCAGTTTGGGGATCTTTGATTTGTAAGACACTGTGTGTTTGTGTTGTCATTGTAGCGTTGCTGTGTGGTACATGATCTGGACTTTGTTCTTGTAGAGCTTCGTAGGTGTTTTGATCGATCAGTCCATGTTTTAGAGCAACTTCTACAGGTATTTGTTGTCCTGTTTTCGAATCGACAACAAACATTGTTTTCACTATATTTATGACAGCTTTTGTAGCGAGCACTGGAGCTCCAACAACTGTAACAATCCCAGCTTTAGCAGCATCTTGCAGAGAAATAAGATTACCGGACTTATCTCTGTAAGTTTCATCGCTCGGATTGATGATGTTGCGTTCAATGGCTTCGATCAAGGGGATGCTTTTACCTGAAACGGGATCCTTTACTTTGACTGAATCAGGCGATACTTTTTCATTTAGGACTGCATTGCCGAGATCTGAGGCTTGGGAAAGTGTAGCCATATTCGATTTCGGATCGTATACAACTCCTGATTCTAGCTGGACTGGTTCGTCGACTTCCATTTTGTCTTCTAACGAAACATATCCCTGCTTTATGGCATCCTGCAACGTGAGCTTCTCACCGTTGATTACATAGTGCCCGGTCGCATCTATCAGTCTCTTGTCGAAAGCTCTTGTAATACTGATTTTGCGTTTTGTATTTGGGTCAAACACAGTCACCGATGTAGAATCGATGAGCTTCAAGGCGATACATTCTTGGAAACTGACCAAACGATCCGTGCCATGGATGATAAACAACCCCGTCACAGGATCGAATAGTTTCCTGTCGATAGCATTTGTCAGCGACCATCCTTCGCTAGGCACCTTCTCAACGTATTTCTTTTCGTTTCTAATAAAATCGTCAGACACTGATGGGTGAGAAATTTTCGATGCGACCGATAAGAGTACTTTTTCGGAACTCTCTTTGTCAGGCACCAGCTTACCTTGACTTATTGCCTGGACGATGGGAATGTTCTCTTTGGTCAAGGGATCTGTGTACGTTTGCCGCTCGTTATTGATCGATCCCAACCTCAGAGCTTCCGTGTACGTAATGACCTCTTGCGGCACATCTTTGCTGGTAACCGTGACGTATCGTTGGACGAGCGTACGCGTGACTTTAGTGGAAACATTCAGATTGAGTAGACTGTTCAGTAAGGCGGCACCTACTGGCGTTATTATGTGCTGTGCGATGGCCTCGTTGAGGTAGACGATTTTGTTGGTGTTCAGGTCAACGATGTTGCCGGTTTTCGGGTCTATGTGACCCCGGAAAACGGCTTCCAGCAAGGTCAGCTCCCGCTGGTTCTCCACGATGCCTATGGGGCGCGTGAGATTATCTAATACTTCTGGTTTCACCTCTCCCGAGCTAACACCCTCCGTGAACGGAACCAACTTACCGCTGGTCGTGTTAACCAAAAGACTCCCGTTCTGGTTTTTGCTGATGTAGCCTTTAGCGTAGGCGGCGTTGAAGCTGATATGGTCAGACTTGTCGGGCGGCTGGAACCCGTCCACGTCGAATATCGACTTCCTTGTCACGGAAATTATGTAGCCCCTGCCGACAGCTTCTTGAACCGTGATTACCTCGTTGGTGACCGAGTTCCTGAACTTGCTGTCGGCCGTTACTATGCCCTCTTTCAGAGCCTCGGCCAAGGTGATGTAGTCGTTCGTCCGGTGGTCTAAAATAGTTTTAGTCGAGTCTAAATCAAGGACGCCGCGATTTGCGGCTTCCAAAAGAGTCAAGTTCGTCTGGTGGAGCGGGGAGAGAATTTTACCGGTATCGTCTATCGCGTTGTCATCGACGACTTCTTTGAGAGATTTGGGTTTGACGATGAGCAATCGTCGCTTGGCTTCGAGGAAGCTCAGTTTATCATGCCCGAGTATGAATTTGCCGAGCTTTGGGTTGATGAGGTTCTTCTCCAAGGCGTGCACGACCGTCACTTTGTGATCGGTCTTGGGGTCGACGATTTCGCGGATATCACCGTCGATGACGTTGAATTTGACCGCGGCGTCGATTTGGTACTTGTTGCCCGAGTTCCTGTCCACGATCCAGCCGGTTTTGTCATCGATCAAGCCTTGGTTTATCGCGTCCGACAGCGGTACGGCGCCCGTTTGCAATTTGACTTCCGTGTGCTGAAGAAGGTAGCCTCTTCTGTACGCCTCCTTGAGGTCGATGGTTTCCCCGTCGTCAAGCGTGTAAGTGCCGTATTTCACATCGACCCTGCCGTCATCTATGGCTTGACTGATGCTTGTCGAATGGTTTACCTTGACGCGTTTCTCCGAAGGGTCCGAGAACCCGTGCTCGGCCTCGTATATTTCCCGCTGGATGGCTTCTAGGAGCGTCAGATCTCGCCCGTCTTCTTCTATCCCGCAGGGGCTTTGCAGCCTTTCCGCTATTTTAGCCTCCATCATGCCTGCCCTCTGCGCTTCGTCTATGGTAGCTTGAGAACCGTCAGAAGAGATGACCACCTTTCCACTTCTCACGTCCAATATCCTCTCGGAGATGGCTTCCCTTATGGTCATTATCTTACCGTTGTAGGGGTTGAGAATTCCGGGACTGTCGATTACGTTCTCAGTGCCGATCCCTTCGTGTACTTTGTGCACCCTCTTGAGGGATTTGATTTCGGTGAATTGTAGGGTGTTCGACCAAGGCTGTGGCTCTTGGATGATGTGGGTGAGGGTGGTATGTTTGTCGGGTGGTCGACCGTTAAGGCTTTTGTCTACTTCGTCGGGGAAGCGGTTGTTGCTGTTCTGATCGTCGGCTATTTTGATGGTGGTGCCGTTTTCTGATCGCGAAGTTTTCGTCGTTTGGACATACCTGATGGAATGAAAGGTGCGTGGTGGTGAATGTAGCAGAGTTCCCCAGTAAATCTACAGAGGTACAAATTCAGGGACACTGTGAGATTTCGACTTTCCACTTTCAAAAAGTTGTGTTGTGAGATGTTACAATGGGGAAGTTTCCAATATTGAGGTTTTTCTCTCACTGTGAAGGTTGTAAAAATTTAATAAACAGGGTGTTTCTTGAGTACGTGTAAACATTTCAGGAGTATGTGGCTGAAATGAGAAGGAGAGTTGTTGTAAACATATGTCTGCAAGATATTCATTAGTGAGATACAGAGTGTTAGAGTTTGATTTTTCTTCCTGTTTTTTTGTGAATATATTCAAGGAAAAACGTGATGTGATACTCGAGTGAAATTTGGTATCTTACTCGAATATCACCATTATTTTGGAATTCATTCACAAAAAACCGTAATAACAATCAAAATTTGACAGTCTGTATCTCAGAAACGAATAACTTGCGGACATATGTTTATACGAACTTTTCTAAGAAGCCACATTCACACAGAGTTCAGATCTGATTCCCTGTGCTTTTTTCCTTGAATTGTTCATTGAATATATTATAACTATATCATATCATCAATGGGATATAATATGTTTTTTAATCCTACTTACTACTTCAATCCTACTATATAATCAAAAACAACGCCAAATTGTCTTCTTCTATAATTTTTTTCATTAGTTTTCCATTCGTTAGCTATTCGTTGGCTATATTCAGACTAGGTTTGAAAAGTACGTCAAAGTTTGCCGCCCCGAAATTTGAAAATTGATTTGTTTTGAAAATAAAAACGACTTGGACTTCATCCATCGCCATTCTGTACCTTATTTCGAACTTATTTTATCGAAATTCATTCGGAGGAAACTTCCCCATTGTTTGAACTGATCTATCCCGCTTTGAACGTGGTAGATGTTCCTTGAACCTAGTTTCATAGGTTGTTCATGTTTGACCTACATTCCTTTAAGCCAGAATCGTACTAATAGACTAATGCCTTCTCAACTTGTAGCTTATTAGTGGAGAATTGACTGAAAATGTAACTGATTTCTACAAGTACTTACTGTTTACTGTAATGAGTGGTGGTAGTGTATGTTGAGGTCAGTTCACTGGCACTGCTCATGTGGAATTCTGATCTGAAAGTCCGGAATGGCTGCGGTTGCATTTTCTCAACCAGTCGCTGAAAAATAATGAATAAAATTATAACACAAATCATTCCAGGTAATTTAAGGATGGATGAAACGATCATGAGACATTTTATATATGAGAGAAATATTCGAAGAACATCTCTGTATCTCTGAAATCAATAATCTATTTTAATTCAAGAATATTATCATTTCATCTTCATGGTTGTCCTATAATAAATTGAGTATAAATTACAGCAATTCAGCATTCATGTATATCTCTAAACGACGCCTCTCAAGTGAACTGAAATTTGATATCAAATTCAATAATGAAATCATCAAATATTCCACAGCCATCAAATTCCTTGGGATATTCCTTGATGAACATTTGTCATGGTACAAACATATTGATCAGGAAGAAAATATCTCCAGTATTCGGGGTACTCTATAGGATCAGACACCAAATCACTTTCAAATACTTAGAATGTATATATTTTTCCTTGGTCTATTCAAATTTACAATACTTGATTTCAGTTTAGGGTACAGCTAGGTTATCAATTATAAAGCCAACCAAAATCCTTCAAAACGAAATTATTGAATGCATATACGAACTAGATAACTTGGAACCAACAAGAAATCTCTATAAACCTAGGCAATTGTCAGAGATTTATTAACTCCATTTACAAATTCGGAATAATAAATTTCATCCATTCATTCAAAGATAATTATAAACAATCAAATCTGAATTTTGAAATCAATACCTAGTCATGAACAAGAACTCATAACCAGACAAAAAGAAATGTTAACTCTCATCAAAATTAATAAATCAGATATGTGTGAAAGATCAATTTTATACAATGGAACAATTCTCTATAATGAAAAACCTGCCAGACTGAAGGAAAAATCAAGTGTTGAGAAATTCAAAGAAGAACTGGAAAAATACGTATGTCTTTGATTCTCTTATATCATCCTAGATCAACTCAAGAACTTATATTCAACAGTCTCTAGAAGAAACAACATTATATATACTATGTATATGATTTAAAAATGATTATCTGATAATCTAATTTTATTATTTTTTTATTTTTAGATGTATAATAAATTGATATTCATCATACAGGACGTGGAAAGAAATTCTGAATTGAATGAATAACTGGACTTCAGGTTACTGATGAGGATCTGATATCCGAAATGAGTTTTACTCGAGTGAATCATATAAAACCTGTTTGTGAGAGATATAATTCCCATATCACTGATACGAATGATTTTTTTTGGGTTCGAAGCTAATCAAGATCAGAGTTCATACAAGTAGGTATACTTCTCCTATACATTCCAATTTTCATTTCGATACTGAACATATAGGTAAGTTATAATATTCTATTCGATTTGAGAGATAATTTCAATTCTCAATTTCAGAGGATTTTGATTTTTCATGATCTCTTTTTGGATATTCAACAGATATAATTCAATGTTCGACGTGGCAAATAGCCAGGAAAGTAGTTGTTTTCTATTGAATAAGTTGAATAAACCGAGAAAGAATTAGTATTTTCATCACATGGAGAATGCGAATTATCAATGTATATCTTTATATATTTGAATCCATATTTTTGTGTTCATAAATATATCTGAGAAAATTCCTTTTCAATCATTCTTTCAGTTGCTTTTTCATATGTTTCTTGTGAAGAATAATAGTTATTTATTATACAAGGGAAAAAAGTAGTAGATTTTAGCTCCAGGTTGTGTTGTCTCCCGACGCGTAGCGGAGGGAGACAACAAACCGTGAGCTAAAATCTAATATTTTTCCCGTGTATAATACACTATTTTTTTCTGTGACAGAAGAAAGGACGAATCAATATTGAGAAGATATTACATTATTTTGATATCTGAAAATTATCGACGTGAAATTTTAAGTTTTTAACAGTAGGGACACCGCGTTGTAGGCATCTTTATCATTCATTTGAAGTAATCAAATATCTGATGTCACTTCGGTCAGTCTAATGTTGTGATTTTATTTCAAGAAATTGCGAATTCAGTGGTTATTTAGGAATATATACGTAACCGCGAAGTCGAATGGAAGATAAAAGGACTTGCAGTTCTTTCTCGGAGACGGTATTATTGACTCATTTTTCGGAACTATAGCACAACAAAAGCCATCAACAGTGTATATATATGTGATATATATCCGGGAAAGAAGTACTCACTTTTTTCCCACGGGAAAAAAGTGATTTATGAAAAGTGACATTTTATAACCTGCCAACAGGGATGAAATGCCAAACTTTTTTCCCGTCACAGAAAAATAGTTATTTATTATACAAGGGAAAAAAGTAGTAGATTTTAGCTCCAGGTTGTATTGTCTCCCGACGCGTAGCGGAGGGAGACAACAAACCGTGAGCTAAAATCTAATATTTTTCCCGTGTATAATACACTATTTTTTTCTGTGACAGAAGAGAGGACGAACCTATATTGAGAAGATATTACATTATTTTGAAATCTGAAAATTATCGACGTGAAATTTTAAGTTTTCAACAGTAGGGACACCGCGTTGTAGGCATCTTTATCATTCATTTGAAGTTATAAAATATCTGATGTCATTTCTGTCAGTCTAATTCTGTGATTTGATTTCAAAAAATTGCGAATTCAGTGATTGTTTAGTAAAATACGTAACCGCGAAGTCGAATGGAAGATAAAAGGACTTGCAGTTCTTTCTCGGAGACGGTATTATTGACTCATTTTTCGGAACTATAGCACAACAAAAGCCATCAACAGTGTATATATATGTGATATATATCCGGGAAATAAGTTCTCACTTTTTTCCCAAAACTGACATTTCATAACCTGCTAACAGGGATGGAATGCCAAACTTTTTTCCCGTCACAGAAAAATAATCTTTTTTCTGTGACGGGAAAAAAGTTTGGCATTTCATCCCTGTTGGCAGGTTATAAAATGTCACTTTTCATAAATCACTTTTTTCCCGTGGGAAAAAAGTGAGTACTTCTTTCCCGGATATATATCACATATATATACACTGTTGATGGCTTTTGTTGTGCTATAGTTCCGAAAAATGAGTCAATAATACCGTCTCCGAGAAAGAACTGCAAGTCCTTTTATCTTCCATTCGACTTCGCGGTTACGTATTTTACTAAACAATCACTGAATTCGCAATTTTTTGAAATCAAATCACAGAATTAGACTGACAGAAATGACATCAGATATTTTATAACTTCAAATGAATGATAAAGATGCCTACAACGCGGTGTCCCTACTGTTGAAAACTTAAAATTTCACGTCGATAATTTTCAGATTTCAAAATAATGTAATATCTTCTCAATATAGGTTCGTCCTCTCTTCTGTCACAGAAAAAAATAGTGTATTATACACGGGAAAAATATTAGATTTTAGCTCACGGTTTGTTGTCTCCCTCCGCTACGCGTCGGGAGACAATACAACCTGGAGCTAAAATCTACTACTTTTTTCCCTTGTATAATAAATAACTATTATTATTATCATTATTTTTGCGTTGAAATCACTTGAAAGTTCTAGTACCGATCATTTTACACTGGTGGATACACGGTGGATCGTTGATGTAATGTGTGAATGTAGAACATGTTGTGATACCTCGTGTGATACTGATATTCAATTTGACGGCATAAACTTGAAATCCGGACCTGGATCTTGCCACGTAAAACTACAGCGAGTATTGATCTTGTCGTGAAGGTTTAAAAAAATAGACAAGAATAGTGGCGTCTAAATCTGTTCGATACAAACTAGATACTCGACAGTCTCTCATTTCTACTGTATGCTTTATCTAAACATATCCAGAAGGTAATTAAACCTTTTGACTAATTTTAACCGAAGAGCCATCTCAATTTCCATCGAGACTGCGTTCATCAGTCGATGATCCATTGTTTTCCTATTTTTAGCTGGGAAAATAAACGAGAAGATCTTTGAATGCACAGCAAAGAACAATCTCTGTAGATTTGTCAAGGAATGGAATAATATACAGGATGTATCTCAATAACACCGAGAAAATTCAAGGGGTGATTGACACTGACACTGAGAAGTGTCAAACTATAAGCAGAGCACAACTTCCAAAGAAAAATATTTTGCATTTTCATGTTGAGAACGGGAGCAGATTCGTTCCCGAAACGTCTGAAGATATGTAAAAATTCGATATTTTTTCAATATATCTATATTTCTTTCCTTCAAACATTTTTTCAAACGAAGTGTTACTGACAAGCTACTGGATTTTTCATTTAGGCTCCCGCTGATAGAAAAATTTGTTAAACGCAGTGACATTTTGGGGCAGATCATCTGATTTGTCGCACTACAAATATATTGAAAAAATACGCATATTTTCATTTTATAGAAACGAGGAGAGAAAATCCCAAAAAATCAAGTAAAATGAATGTACCACCTCCTCGATTAACCTACAGACAGTATCATTATTTTTGTTTCAATGGTGGATTAAGAAGGAATAACGAAAAGGTCCCGAGATGAAGTCCCAATGTACAATATGACTGACTTTTAATCAGAAAAAAAATCCTTGAGTTTTGGCAGTTTCGCCATATGTAATGGTTCCACTCTACACCCTGTGTAAGTTTAGTTCTGCGGACTTTTTCACAGTGTTCTAGCTCTTATTGAAGTCGATGAAATATCACACCTGATATCGAATACCGCATTAAAATCGGTCGTCGAAAAAGAGTCAAGATTTTTGTAAAAAAAAAACGATGTTCGCGATTTCATTACGATTTTTTTAGACTCCTTTTGAATAAATGAAACAAAACAAATAACACATTCTCATTGCTACTTTTTCTGTTCTACAATATGGTGTTATCAGAATTTCAAACCGACGTATCGCGCTTTGAGCAGCCATCACCAACTTCGTATTTTAAAATACGGCCCTGGATTTTTCATCATGGATAAGAGCTTTTAATCTCCTAAAATCAACATTGAATCGCACTTAGTCGAAAAAGGTGTTTGTTTATTTAAAATCCATAATTAAAAATTCAGGGCCGTATTTAAAAAAACAAAGTCGATAATGGCAGCTCAAACACGA